CCAAAATTTAAACAACTAAAAGAAAACTGAACAAACTGAACTTCTCTTCTGTCCTCATTAGAAAACCTGGGCCATGCTCAAAGGTTTGTCTGATTACATACCCTGGATCTCCTGGTTCTCCTGGAGGTCCGCCAATCCCTGGGGCCCCTGCTTGTCCCGGTTCCCCACTCGGACCTCGTTTACCGGGAAATCCCATCAGCCCCGGCTCCCCCTTCTCTCCCTTCTGAGGGCCGTGGCTGCCGCGCCACTCTGCCCCTGTAAACAGCAGCAACAGGCTGTTCTCATACACTGATCGTACATATACCTAGAGTAATGTGCCAAAATTCGAGGCTAAACCCCACGTAATCATGAGCCAATAATTCCTATATAATTCACGTAATTGTGAAGGCGTGATCACGTGACCAGTGGTCTGAGGAGAGTAAAGACGGAAGTAGTATAAAGATTGAATGTGTGTGTTGGATACCTGGCTGTCCTTTCTGTCCTTTCTCTCCGTCACGACCGTCTCTGCCCGGCAGACCAGGAATTCCTGAGGATGGAAAGACAGATAAACAAACAAACAAAAGATACATATATCCTCCTGAGATGCCAGCTTTTGTTTGGTATGCATTTTTAAGTATTAAAAATAAGTATTAAAAACTAAGCATTGTCTTCGGGAAAGAAAGATGTCCTCATATGGTGACGATGGGTTTATTTTTAATAGTCACAAGTGTGCAATAAATTGTAATAAATAATAAATAAACTGTTTTAATTATTTCAACACCTGTCTTCAAACAAGACAATAATTTAGTCCTTAAGTCCTAATTTCCTAATTAACAGCATTTTAGCTTGTTACTGTTGCTAAAATTGGTCAAATTTGTATGCCATATTAAACTACAGACGCTATTTTGCACAAATAATCAAGTTTCAACCACAAAATTTGATTAAGTTTTGTGCCTTGTCCACTTTAGTGTTGGGATCAGCTGTAGACTAAACATAAAAGTGTCCACAAATGAGGACAACAGGTCTAAGTTAAGCAGAATAAAGTATAAGGTGCAGGAAACCCAAAATGCGATGTCCTCATATAAGGACGCAGGGTCTTAGGAGGATATACAAATATGCACGCACTTACCTGGCATCCCAGGCATCCCTGTTGCTGGGCAGCTCTCCATGGTAACCACAAGGGGTGTGGCCAATAAGAGCAAGGCACCGATCACGAGAAAACAACGATGGAGCATGATGGAGATCCTGACAGGGAGATGAGGGGATGAGAGAAATGAGAGGGAAGGGAACAGGCAGGTGAGAAGAGGGGAGATAAGGTAAGAGGAGGTGATTATAAGAAACAAATATAATATAACAAAAAGGGAGGACAGGAGGACGGCAAAGACAAGATGAGGACAGGAAAAATGAAACAAGTATGAATGAAGGGGGGACGGAAAGGGGTGGAGGATCTACCACAGTGCCTCTGAGCAACTGAATCATCTGCTGACAAAAAGTAACTTCAACATATAACTCACAAAACTAAATCTATTAGTATAAATACACAATGAAAGTAAAAACAGGAGATCATAAGATGCTCTTTTACAAATAAAAGCTATCGACTTCAATCCAGTAAACTGTAATCAACACACACGTGGAAAATAAATGTATGAAACTCACCTTAGAGAACAGACAATAATGAAACCCGCTCCGGTGAGTTCACAGCAAACTGAAGTGAAGCTCCGAGTCCTGCAGCAGCCGGAGGAAGCCGACACTAAACCAAAGATTCAGCAGCTTTTGCAGTTTTGGGAAGTTACTGAGAACTGGAAGGATGGGCAGAGAGAGAGAGAGAGCAAGAGAGAGAAATGAGACTTTAGATGAGAGTTTATCAGCCTTCTCTGTATTTACACAATTTTCATGACACCAGCAAGCTCAAACTGAGACACAAAACTATGAATTGACCTGCCAAGTATTGTGTGTGTATCAGTCTGATGCAGCATCTTCCTCTGTGCCACAGAGCCCTACTGTTGTCCAAAAACTATTAAAAACACAAAAATTAACCGCACTGTTGCACAAGGTGACATGTTCCTTCATCACCATGAACACACACTTAAGTTTACTTTGACTCATATACACTGTTCTACTGCTCCTGATACTCACTGCCAAATGTGTATTAATCAGTTGCTGAAACTAGCAACCAAATTCCCGGGAAACAAAAAGATAAAAAAAATTGGACACTGAACATTTCTGCAAACCACAGACTCATAACATTTGCACATTATTATGTAGCAGATATGTTGAAACTTAGCGTTTCAGCAGCACTGTGGTTAACGTGGGTCAGGTTCACGCACAAAAATCACTTGGTTATGGTGAGGAAAAGATCATGTCTGGCTTAAAATACCTGGTTCAGGGAGGACAGTCACTGCTGGAAATGCAGTAGACCACGAGTAGTAACAACCACTTTTCATGCCACCATCCTGGCAGAGAATGTGGTGATGTTTCAGCGATGTCTCAGTTAAAAAAAAAATGCTTTTCATGCCACTATCCTGGCAGGAAACTTGGCAATGTCTCAGTAAAAAACAACAGTTTTTCGTAGCAACATCGCAGCTGGAAAAACAGTGACAGGTTGCTACACAACATACACGTTTGGTGGCTTAAAAGTTGCTGGAAACCTGGCATGCACTCACCAAAAAACAACTGGTTTTCTTTGTTGGTGTCAAATAGTGGTCTGTAACTTGGCAGGCGTCTTGCCTAGGTGCCACGCCATCCACCATCCCTCCACCTCATGAAAAAGTCAGTTCATATAGTGTACTACGTCACTTTAGAAACATTGATATACATATTAAATGTGCAAATGTAACATATCTGCGGTTTGCTAAATGTTCAATGCCAACATTTTCTAGTCCCCAACAAATGCACTATTTCCTCCTGTTTGAGTAACGTTTGTTAAAAACTCCAGTGACCAGCTGTTTAATGAAATTACTGAGGCTTCAGAAAAATTAAACTATATATTTGCAAGCTTTTCTGAGAGATTTTACCAATGGACTTGGAGATGAGTAACTCTATAAGTCAGAAACTATTGAGAGAAGGACACATTGTTGGTTTTGGTCTTTTCATGGGATTTGTTGGCAATACCACAAATGAAACACCACCCCTGTGCTTGTTCTCCTGTGCTGACACAACAAACACACCAACACACACACTAATGGCAGGAAGAGGTCAACCGAGAACATGCCAAAGAGGTTACCAGAAACAAGAAGTGTGCAGAAAAACAGAAATGTTTCACTTCCATAACCTGCAGAAGGGTCAATCAAAAATTCATTGAGATTGATCCTGTAACAGATGTCTGAGTCACACTCCCCTGCTAATGTGATCAATCTGGCAGCTGAGATGTGGTGATCAAAGTGGTTTATGCATAGATTATCCGTCTTCCCCAAAATTAGACAAGAAGATGGACGTCAGTTTCATGTTTGTCCAGGACATGATTAGCTTAGTTTAGCACAAAGACTGGAAGCAGAGGGAAACTGCAGCCTCTCTGTTGACCTTCTGATCTGTAAATATGTCCATATGCTAAATGTCAGAGTATTTATTTTACATCTTCCCTTCTGAGATGTTTAATGCTGACATTTCAAACAGGTCTGCCTTTAATGAGTTTATATATTGACACTGTGTTTGTAAGAAGATGTCTTATTTTATTTGTTAATGTTTAGAGATGTCACTGTTAATCTGTGTTGGTTGAGGCGGAAAAATTAACAAGATTATATTTATGGTTCCCTTTGTTTATTTGTCAGTCAAAACTTCGAAGCCATATATGATTTTTTTTAAAGGAATATTAACATCCAGTGACGGGATATTTTTGAGTATTTTTACTTTCTCATGACCTGCTGGACCCAAAATGAAAAAAAATACCTGACGTGATTTTAATTTGCTACATGTTTTGATGTACATCTTATGGAAGTTAATTTCTGCCGGTATAGATGAAAAATTAATTATGATGAAAAAAAAAAAAATCTTTGATACTTTTTACCTAGTAAGGCCCCGAACTGGCCCGATTTGCAGGGTGCAAAACGAAAGGCGCACCGCACTGTCTTTTTTTAAAAAAAAAAAAAAAAAAGTAATGCCATTTGTTGTTGTTTATTTCACAGTAATTAGTATCTAGTTCCTAAAATGTTGAGGCAGAGGGTACTTGCTGTAGCTCTGGTTAAAGGTGGGAGGCTGTAAGCAAATAGTGTGCTGGACACAGGGAGACACATCTGAGATCTGTGTGGGTACATGAGACCCTAAAAAGAGAGGGTGGATCATGGGGAGTACCACCAGTTGGTCCAGGAGCTTCTCCTCCATGATGGCCATTTCCAGACATATTTTAGGATGACTCAGGTGGAGTTAGACAACCTGCTATCTGTTGTTGGGAAAAAACAATTACAAAAAGCTGTCTCCAGCTGCTAAGACACTTTCTGTGTGACTGGGACCCTAAATCAAACTTTTCACTGATGCGTTTTTTCTTTTGATCAACTTTTTTTTTTCTTTTTTTTTAACTGGCAGAAATAAGCCCCCATAGGATCTGGATCCAGATGCATATTACAACATTTTAGATACTTTATTATGGTGAAAGTATGTGCTCTCCGAGTGTCAACACTGCATTTCTATTAAAACAAAACCAAAAAACACTGACAGTTTTATTAAAAACTGGAATGATTATTCTACCATCACACAGTGTAATCCCAACATAAAGTGATAACACTTAAATACAATGAAGTGTAATACGTATAAAACACATGAAATTAAGTTTAAGATGTTATATTCTTCTTTGAATTTATAGCTGTTTTTTTCTGTAAATTTTCTCAACCTTTTTTTTATTTTTCCATTTTTTTCCCTGTTAAACTTTTTTTTAGGGATTTTTTTCTTATTTGAATCGGTGGTCAGAGGACAGAGGGTGTCAGAATTGACATTTAGTTACTTGGAAAAACAATGGACTTAATTCTGGTCAGTCACATACATGCAAGTACACATTCCTAGTGGTTTACTTTGAAATGTGAGTGCTGTACTTCTGTTTAACATTTATTTATCACAACATGACACCATGATTAGTTTCCAAAGTCTTACATGAACCTTATAACACACATATTTCCTGGATCGTTGTTCTCCAAATGTCGCCCTGCTCACTCTGAAGATGCTTATGTTTAGACCCAGGGTGGCTGAGTACTGTAGGACTAAACTAGTACTGTGCTTAAGTTCAATTTTGAGGTACTTGTACTTTGCTCGAGTATTTCTGTTTTGATACTGTATACATAATATACACTAAAATCCACTACATTTATCTAATAACTGTAGTTACTTTGCAGATTCAGATGATTAAAACAAAATATAAATCATCATAAATTATGATGTATTATTTTAGATGAACTATCCAGCAATATATAAAGTATACTTTTGGTAATTTTAAGTAAATATTAATGCCAACAATTTTGTAAGTTTTGATGATGTCTGACTTTTACTTGAAATGGAGTGTTTTTATATTGTAGTGTTGCCACTTTTACTTGAGAAGATCTGAACAATTCTTCTAGCACTGGTTTTAAAATTGTGACATTAAAACAACAATCTGAAGACATTTGGAGGCCACAACAAAAATCAATGATTGTATCTAAAATCTGTGTGAAATTAAATGATATGTATCACACTCAATAATAAACTTTAATTGTGTTTTTGTAGCAATGACAGACAAAGTCAACATTCAGTGAAGATTAACATGAATTGATATGAAGGAAACTGATCAGGTTATCTGTGGATTCACACATTAAACAAACACAAACATTCACAAATATTCCTGTACTGCGACTCTGTGTAGGTGCAGTGCAGTGTCTTGAAGTGCAGTGTCCAGTGAACTTTATTCTGGATTTGAGAAGAGCAGGAAGCCGCTGAAGATGATCTGTTTTTCTTGGGCGTCTGTCAGTTCAGAAGGTTTCTGCTTGTCCCTGAAGGACTCGAGCCAAACCTTCTGTCCGGCTGTCAGCTGTAAGACCACGCCACCCGACAGCACCTGAAACACAACACAGACAATCACAGCGAGTCAAAGTCCTGAATTCAAAATGTTGCTTAATTACAAGTAGAGATGTTTTAACAGCAAAATATACTTAAGGGATCAAAAGCAAAAAGTACTCACTATGCAGAATTGCTTATTTCAAAGTGTTATATTAATATAGAATATTATATCATTCTGCTTTTATCAGTGACAAATACATGTAAAAATATTTTAATGTTGTAGTTCAGTGTGAAACCAGTTCTAAACACTGCTCCAAAATATTAAGGGAACACTTAAATCACACCTCAGATCTTGAATGAATTATTTATTCAAGTTTAAGTTTTTACTGATGTACATTGTGTAATTTGTTGAGAACAAAATGATGTAACAATGGTCAGTGGAAACCAAAATCATCAACCCACTGAGGGCTGGATTCAAAATCACACCGAAAATCAAAGTAAAAAATTCAAATCACAGGCTGATTCAACCTGCATGAATTTTATTATGGCAACTAATAAAGTGACTCAGTAGTGTGTGTGGCCCTCGCGTGCCTGTATATGCACTCCCAACACTATCTGGACATGCCATGTCAGGATATGGTGTCCAGGGGGATCTCCTCCCAGACTTCCCTGAGCGCTGTGGGAGTACACGCCCATAAAGATCCAGAAGACAAATAATAAGACAAAAATAAGAAAATACAGGCAGAGGGCAGAGACTTTGTAGAAAAATATACTTCCACACACTGAGAGTAGGTCATAAATTATGATTGAGAGGGTTCACTTTTGTATGATTATATACATTGTTAGTTAGGAAAATCTTGCACAGTATATCTTTATAGAAGTTATGATTTTGAGCAAATGATTTATCAAAGACTGACTCTGTGGTGCTGAAACTGACCTGATCATAGACAGGAGAGGCCCTGGAGTGATCACAGAATCCCAGCTTGTCTGTCTGAGCATCACTGGCTATAGCCAGACATATGCTGACCTAAAAAGCAAAACATAGACCATAAACACACAGAACAACTGTGAGGCAGTTTGACGATGGATCTGTTGGTGCAGGTTACATATCTCAACTTTAAAGTCCCTGCAGGTTGATTTTTTAAATGACATTAATACAAACTGCCTGGAAGAAGTAAAACACATTCTGAAGTCCAAAAATCTGAAATATTTTACAAAATGGTCGACATTTATTCTCATAGCGGTAGAAAAGACAGTGATGTTTTACCTTGGCCACAGAGTGGAAGGTGAAGTAATAAACACCAGGTACTCTGCAAGTGAAGTGACCTGTGGCTGTGTTAAAGTCATCACGTGTGTTGACAGTGGCAGTTTGGTAGGTTACTACCTGATGCACGCACACACACACACACACACACACACACACACACACACACACACACAACAATGGAAGATAAATAATGACCTGATTAAACCTGAAAAATGTATAAGACAATGTAGAGCACAGCTGCTGTTGTTCTTTCACTGCCTCAATCAGTTAGTTTGTGTTATTGTGTGACTTTGATGTTTTAAAGGTTTAGTTTGGATTCACCAAAGTCACACAATAAGACTAAAGCCCCATTTCCAACACACACTTTCGGTATGGTACCTTTGGAACCAAAAAGTAACCTTTCACACATAGTACCTAGACTCTAGGTCTGTTTAGCCTTTCCACCACAAACAGTACCCTTAAATGTGGGCAGGTTGTTGTCACTCACTGCTCCGTCGAGCACTCACTGTATTTCCTCATTGCCGGTGACACAGATGGAGGTCTGTGCCTCGTATATTGTCCACAGAAAGAGGCTGCACGCCGACATTTTCAGAACAAAATAAAACAGGCTGCAGTGAGTCTCTCTCCATGGGATATTTGAAAATAGCAGGTTTGTGCATTTAGTCCTTCTCAGGCAAGCTCAGGGGTTTAGTTTTGACGTAGTCCACAGGAACAACGCTCTTTTTTTTTCTCTGAGTGAGAATTAGAAAATATGCAGTTCACATAACCTGGTTGAAATTAATATACATTTTTAAATGCTTGATGATCCAATCATTACTAAAAGTGTCTGTCATATAAAAACTAAAGTGATGGTCAAAGTTGTCATAGTGAAATTTAAGGTGTGTTGATGGATTCGTGTCGTCAACTCATGCATTGAGTAACATTACAAGCAAACCTTCTATCTTAAAAGTTGCCGGCAGTCGGCCCAGCGAATTAAGTTTTTTCTCAGACTCCAGCTGCTGTAAGAAGCAGCAAAACATCCTTTCATTTTCATCATCCTGTGTCACAGTCTACTAATAAAAATCTCCACAGTATGAACAGTGGTTACATGAGCCTCAAAACCAGCCACAACTCAGCCCTGAGCAGAGTGACCGTCCTCTACTGACCAATCGCCAGACTGCAGTGTTCATAGCTCCACCATTTAGTACCAGATCTGTGTGCTAGGTACCCCAACAGAGGGGGGACCAAACATGGGGGCGGTACGGAACTGTGCCATTGGTACCATCCACAACTTTTCACAGTGGAAATGGAAAAAAGCGAACAGAACTGATCTGTCCCATAATGCTTGGTGGAAATGAGGCTTAACAAACTGACTGAGGCAGTGGTAGACCAGCAGCTCCCAAGTTCAGTGAGCTAAAATTAGTGAGAGCATAAATGTGGAACTGAAGCTGTTAATGGATTCCCTGTTGGAAAGGACAGTCTGACAGCAATGTAAAGCGGTGGAGGTACTCTCAATGCAGTGCACACTTAAACAATATTGGTTTTTTTTTCAGGGGGCTACAATATGTTTTGCTGCTGTCGCTGTCCACAGCAGTATATTGCTTAGCTTCCCTGGTGGTTCTTCAGCCTGCTTCTCCAAACTGAAGGCGTGCCGACTGGCGCCACTGTATGTAATACACTGACTATGGAAGAATACCTTATACAACCTCACTTCAAAAAATCTGAACTATCCCTTTAATGTGTTCATTACTTTAATGTTGCAGCCGATAAAGGTAGAGCTAGTTTTAACCTCTTCTACTGCTGGGTAGCTTGTGAATTTCACCAAGGGATCAATACTGTCTTATCCTATAATGATACATCATAATTTATTAGTTGATTTCATTTTGTGTTAATAATCTAAATCCTCCAAGAAACTAAAGCTGTCAGACTGACATAGTGGAGCAAAACAAGTACTCTGTGAAGTAATATTTGCCTCTGAGATGTAGTGGAGTGAAAGTATTAGGTAGCAGGAAATGGAAATACTCAAGTAAAGTACCTCAAAATTTTCTTATGAGAAAATGTACTTAATTATTTTCCATCACTGCTTCATTTAACCCTTTAGCAACACTTAAGCATTAAAATGTGATGTTCTTTTCTTTTACTCTGGCAGACATCAAAGAAAGGAATAAAAGATGTCTTTTATTTGTAGATATTTTTGCAGATTTGAAAATGTTTTGCGATGAAACAGCTGAGAGACAGACAGAGGAGGTGTGATGGACGACAGACTGAACCTGGCCGATGCGGGGATAACTGTTGTCAGTCTTCATCACTGAGAAGGCTGAATGGGCCTGCTGGGCGGACTGCTGTCCACCTGGAAGAAGCACACACACACACACACAATAATTAAGACAGGTGTACTCCGGGTATGGTCAGAGGTTCAACAAACTCAAATCTTTCAACCACAAGAGGTCAGTGAACAATGTATCCTCACACAGCAGTTCATATAATATCCTATGAAGTGATGCACCACTTTTATGGATGAGCGAAGACGTCTGCTGTGCCCAGAGTTATTTGGTCGAGCTCACCATCTGTTGTTTAACGTCTGCCATAAACAACAGTTTTGGATCAGGCTCGGTCGAATCTGCTTCTCAAGTATTTGACACATCGTTGACAAGCCTTTATCGCCACTTACAAGTGTTTGGAGTCGTTCGTGCCTTCATGGAGATATTTTGCAAAATAAAGTTCATGTGGACAGATTTTCTTTTTTTGTAATGGAGTGGAAAAATATACGATTTGAAAACTATCTGCATACACGCAGACAGGGCCTAAGTTATGGTTGTATTATATGAACGGGATACCGGAGAATGCTTACTGGGCCGCAGGGGAACTGTTTTTGTTGCAGTGATAAAACAGACCACTGTGACAATAAGAGGCAGCACTGAGTGGACAAAACATCCATGGTTGAATTTCTGCTGTATTTCTTCTTCTGTGATCCACATTACAAATTAACTTCTCCCATTTTGTACAAATCTCCTGTCGTGGAGATGGCTAGAATTTTGTTTTTCAGTTGTCACCGTAACAGATTTGTTGAGAAGATTTTTGTTTCCCCAGTACAATAATGTCTGACTTTATGTGTCAATAAAGAGATTTCAGTGTATTGACACTTTTTATTTTTTACCACTAAATGCCGTTAGCTGACTGTTGCTGTTGTTGTTGTTCAGTTTGTGTAGGAGCTGCAGCAGCCAGCTCTCGTGCTACTCTGTTATCTTTCCTGTCAAATACTTTTATTGTGTATGAGTTAGCACGATATACACTGTAGGATCTAGGGTCAGAGGTCGTGTCATTACCTTGGCCGATGGACGTCCCGTCGGCACCGGGGCGACCTGGCTTTCCAGGGTCACCTGACGCTCCCAGATGTCCACGGTAACCTTTAGGGCCTATGACCCCTGGAGGGCCCCGACTCCCTGTCTCCCCCTTCAGCCTCAGCAGGACGGCTGCATCCACTGGACCGTTGGCAATCAACACTAGAGACAAACAGATGAATTATTGAACCTGTAATAACTGATTTTTTGGCCTCTGGGGCAGCAGAAACAAGCTGTGAACACAACATCGACATAAGTTGAAATGTTGAACTTGTTAGCAAACAGATGCTTATTGACTGCTGGATAGGAACACAATCATTCATATAGCTGCTTTAACTACCAAGAAAGAATCATAAAGCATCACGTTGCTCCCTGATGTTCTAAACTGTCTAAAATTTATAATGGATTCAGTTCCATTTTTCAGAAAGATAAATTTCCCTGTACTTTGCCTCAGTGTGATAACATGGAAGGACAAAGCAAATATATCTTAAGCTAAAAGTTGCAGAAAACTGTCTGTCTTTTTACCTGGCTCTCCTTTCTCCCCCTTCGGTCCAGGATGCCCATCTCTGCCTGGGGCTCCTCCCACTCCCGGCCGGCCGTCAATTCCTCTACAGCTCACATCACATTGGCCGGTTGTCAGCATTGAGGCCACGCCCACCAGAACCACCAGTCCATAGTAACCTCCCATGGTCCAAAACACTGGATTCAAAAATTAATGATGTTAAGAAGAAGAAGAAGAAAAAAATCATCATCAAATTATTTGTTCCTGCCAATCAATTTGAATTTGAAGATTTTTATAATGCATCCCAACGCATTCCAGTACTTGCAGACTCAGTATATTCATATGACAACTTTTAGGGCAATAGTTTTCTCCACTTCACTACAATTTCAACCCTAATATGAGGAAGCAAATTTTAAAATATAATGTAACTCCAAACAATAAACTGAATAGATAGAAGAACTGAAATAATTAAAACACTGCAGACCCTCTCTTTTTGCTGTTAGGGTGGGTCAGTTTCTAAAATCTTGACTATGCCCCTGATTCAAACATAAAAAAACGACATTAAAAAATGTAAAATTTAACATAGATTATAAGGGTCAGTGATAAAAGGATTTCTTGCAGAGAATGCAGTGTGAATGCTGACAGCTGAAATAAATTCAAAACAAAGCTGGGATTGTGAAAAAGTGAAAAGAATTAAGCCCGTGTGCATTGCACTGCAAAACAGTCGTGAGTCAATCCGCTGGCCTTAAATGCCATGTCAGCATTTACAGTAATCACAGATAGCAGTTTTCCAATTTGTAACATTAATCGGCAAAGCTTAACTCAAACATTACTTAAGTTAAAAGTAAAGTCAACAAATGTTCACTGAGATGGTTCAAGCCTCGCTGCAGCAAAGTTCAAGTCTCTACAAGCTGTTTTTCATAGAAATGAAATTAATGGCTGTCTGAAAGAATGAAAACCAAAGTAAAAACAGAATTATTTCTATTGTTTGTTCCACAAGAGACAATCTGAGGTCAGCTGGTTTGCAAAAAGCACATGCAGAACAAACTCACAGAATTCATTCACACACCTTAAAACAATGTAAAGAATAAAAAGTACATTTGTGTGTATGTTTGCTCATCCTCTGCTGACCATTGATTTTTATCCTTTCAGAAAGCCATTTATTTCACTTATTTTTTCAATGAAAAACAACGTGCAGATGCTCTGCTGCAGAGTGAAAATCATTGACTGACCTTTATCCTTAAAGATGTTTAATTTGTGTTGTTTTGTTGACTGGCGTTGACAGAACCACATAAATACTGAACAAAAATATTGAATGATGGGAGATGTTATTTTACTCACCAGCCAAGTGGAGCGGAGAACTGGAGCTGCGATGTAAGACCAGGATTTCCTCTTTTGTTGAAAAGATTGAGACTTATGAGACTGAAGAGACTTATTCCGACACACACACACACACACACACACACACACACACACACAGCAAATCAGAAAGGAAATGAAACTTGTGATCTGACAGAAAGACTGATTGTCCAACGTTGCTGGTTTAAAATCTCGAGCCAGTTTCACTTCTGAGGTGTGAATTTAAGTGTCTTAATTTTTCCCTTACATTAGTCTAATGCAAATTAGACACCTTCACAGTAAATAAAGTCTCACTAATCTGAAAACCTAAACCTTCCTGGGTTAAATTAATTAATTAATGCTCAGGATTTATGGTTTGTTTAACACTGTTGTGACAAAAGTTTTTAGAGCCAACATTAACCTGTGTGTAAAGATAAAGTGATGAAGTTGTCACCAGTTTCTTTTGTCTGCCCAAATTAAGTATTGATTCTGACTCTGATGATGATGTCACCTGTCAAACTGATGGGTTTATTCATTGTTCACTCTTTAATGAATGTTCCCTGTAAAATGTCCACGTAAATATTGAATTCTATTTACTGCTAGAGTGAAAAGAGCAGAGAAGTTACTCAGTCAGCTATTTCTATTTTCTAGTTTGACAAAAAACTCTTAATTCACTTAACTTCAGATGGTCACAGTCTATCTTAAGTGTGATAATTAGTTAGATCTATATCACAATCAAAGTCTGTCTCTGTGAAACTGGCATGTTTTAACCGACTGCATAGCTCCTACCGAATATTACTGATGATGTCAAAGCTTACAGTAACACGTGGAGCCCAAAAGCAGACTTAAAGGCAGAACAATATTTATCTGAGTTTATCAGTTGGGCTAGGTGCTGGCAGAAGGCTAAATGATCAAGGCTGAGTAGATGGAGCCTGCAGATAGGCAGGTTGAAGCATAATGACAAAGGGCAGGCAGACTGAGCAGGTAGAGTGGTTTTTTCTCCTTGAGTCCACCCTGAACTTGTCATCAGGGTGTGCTGACATGAGGAGTAGACACAAGTGAAATCTGAACACAAGGAAGAATCATGTTAGAAAAATCTATCTGATAACACTTAGGAAAATACTCTAGCTATTACTAGTTTAGAGGAGCCAACATTAAGTACCACTGGAGTAGACAGAACATTGTGGCGAAAGTGGTGGTGAAGCTTGGATTCTTGTACTGAGGCTGATTAGGAGGAGATGAGCTGCAGGTGTGAAGGTCCACAGACACACACATTCACACGAAGACAGAGGAGGGGGGGGCAGGGAAACACTAGGAAAAGGAGAAAATGACAGACGACCATTTAACATAACATGCCTTACCTCCTGGGCAGCCAGAGAAAGCAATAAACATGGTCTTCAAAATCTAAAGCGTGAAAAGTGAAGTAAACACTGACACAATGGAACATCTGACTGATGTTTTTCATCATCGTCATCAACAGTTGTTTATTGAGGGAAAATCGACTAAGCATTAAGCTCATTTACAGCAATGCCCTGGGTTCACATTCAATGGGCTAGAAGGATAAAAATATATAATTGCAATTAAGTTATGAAAAGCAGTGAAAATAGCAGTGTCTATCAGGAATTACAGCAAATTAAAAAAAAAAAAACAGTAAAAAGACGAAAATGTTAAATAATTAAGAATAGAGTCTGCCATAAAAGACGGATACATAATAACAACAACAACAACAACAACAGTAATATGTAGAAAATCCTGTCACATTATAGTTGATTGAATGATTGTCCTTCTATTTTCTAAAGAGATTCATGACGTAAATCTGTTCAATGCACCCAGTTTAATTGTCACTTTCTTTGTGAGCTCAACCACATGTGTTTTAAATAAAAGCTCGTCATCTAGCCAGATGCCAAGGTATTTGTAATCTGTAACACGGGTGCCAAACCACAAACTTAAATCCAATACTTTAGAAAAGTAGCAACAACAAAGCATTAAAAGATCACTCTTTTTTTTTTTTAAAGTATCAGATAACAGATATTAGCAGTATTAGAGCTCAAGAAGGAGAGAGTTTTGTTTGGTTTCAATTCTGGATGAAAACTTTTCACATCAACTTACAAAATTAATTAAAATAAACATGAGGTGGGGGGGTAAAGGTATAAACTAACTGAAAAACAAATGCTACATAAAGTCAAATCAATAACGACATGCAGGCACATCACAGTGTGATGTTGCAACGTCTCAATGACTCCACACTGCAGGCTTTCAAGCCTATTTGAGTAAATGAGTTTGGAGCTCCCTCCTGTGGTTGTATGATGCAATAACAGCAGACTGACATACTGTGCAGTCTGTTCAGCTTAAGAACTGAGCAGTTGGGGGTTTGATGCTTTGCTCAGGGACATCTTAGCAGTGCCCAGGAGGCAAACTGGCACCTCTCCAGCTACCAGTCCAAGTTTTTATCTAAGTAGCAGTTTTAGGATGCACTCAGAAGTGTCTCCTGATTTTATATTTTTTATGTTACATATTACCTACAGTGGTACAAAATAATAAGCAGCTACAATTACTCAAGTACTGCGCTAAAGTACACGTTTGAGGCACTTGTACTTAAATAGTTCCGAACCTTTTGGGGTTGTAACCCTTTATAAAAAAACAAAAAAAAAAAAACAAACAAACTAGTTGGACTTACAGTCATCAGGTGACAGCAACACGACTTCAGTATGATACACAAAGGATAGTACCATAATGTTAATACACAGCGAATATAATGTATTTAAGGGAAATGACATACCTTCAAATAACCTATAATTGTTCGGTATTCTCATGTAAGAAATGATCGCTGTTCATACCACATCTTCATCCCTGACTAAGCTGTTTTACAGAGACCTTCCATGGTAATATTTTTAGTTGGTGTTTATTCCCATTACTGATATATGGAAACACCCTCTCAGTGAAAGTGTGTGTGAAGGTGTGAATGTGTGTCTTAGTATCAGCATCTGAGAATAACAGTTGCCCTTTATCCCAGTCCACATGGACTCTGATCCTCTGGGGCTTTTTCTTAACCGAGAGAACAGCAGGATGTGATGGGGAAACTGCTGTATATTTACCACCATATGACCCTATTCGCCACAATCCAGACTTTACACCTCCCTTCCTTTGGACAGATTCTGCTGCCACACCAACAAACCAGGCTGTATTGTCTCCAACCTCAACATCCCAGCTGTGAGTCCCTGAGTTAAAGCCCTCAGAGCCCAGTACAATACAGTAACTGTCAAACCTCTCTGGGTTTTCAGGAAGCTTCTGTCTTTCTCCGTGTCTCACACTGGTCAGATCTTCAGTCAGGATGAGTTCTGGATGAGCAGTGTTTGGATCCAGAATCACAGGAGTGTAGGAGACCATGTCCTTCATCTTCTTCCAGATGTTGAAGGTCAGGTTGCCCAGGTGTTTGGCCTCATCTATCAGAGCTCCTGAGACCAGCTGTGGATCATCCAGCAGGGGGCGCTGCTGGACTCTTTCCACTGCAGCCTTGTAGTTCTGCAGGATTGAGACGTCTTCAGCTCTCAGCTCCTCCTCTGTGGCTCTGACTGTGTCTGAAAGAGCTGCTATCTCTCTGCTCAGAGCCTCAATCTTCTCCTTCATCATCTGACTCTTCTGCTCCTCTTCCTCCCTCAGAGCAGCAATCCTGGCCTCCTCTTCCTCTTGTAGAAACTGGTGAAGTTTCTTAAACTGCTCCTTAATCAGCCTCTCTGTGTGTCGGGCCTGGACCTTAATGTGCTCTGCTGTTTGATTAAAGTCATCTTTAACTTGTTCAAACAGCTTCAGTTTCTCTTTTAAGGTCTTCAGGGATTTCTGCAGCTCCGCTTTGTGATCCTGTGCAGCTTCATCGATGGGTCTGAATCTGTGGTTGTTGTGTGTTTTCGAATCTCTGCAGACAAGACACACTGGCTGCTGATGGTCCAGACAGAAGAGTTTGAGTTTCTCTGAGTGCAGACCGCAGAGAAACTCTAAAGCTCTCTGATCTCTCTCCAGTAAGGTGGCCTCACACAGGTTCTTTGAGGTCAAGTCACATGGCGAATCACTCAGTAAAGGCCTTTCCTTGCAAACTGGACACTCCTGTGTTGGTTTCTCCGTCCACCAGCTCTTCAGACAATCCTCACAGAAGCTGTGGCTGCATGACAGAACAACAGGATCTTTACAGATGGCACTGCAGACAGAACAGGAGAGATCATTCTCCAAATGGGAGGCCATTTTCTCCCTGAGTGAAGATGAAAAAGTCAGTCAGTTATGTTTCCTCTCCTCGCTGTAAAATGTTCCCTTTGTTACTTTCCCTGATTCTCAGCAGCAGGTTGAAGTTAAAGTATTCACTATTCAGACTACACTGTGCTTCTCTTCCGTCAGTTATGTAGAATCATTTCATCACCTGTGTCCTGTTTCCTGTTTGTCACAGATGACTGAGATAAGGGGTGGAGCAATTGTAACACTGCTTTGCAGGGCCATGCCTGACCAATTTAGCACCCTAGGCAAGATATTTGCTGGTGCCCCCCCGACTCACGGTTCGGTTCAAACCTCGGTTTTCAAAAACTACTGAAGAAACATTTCAAAAACTTCCTGAAAAAATGTCTGGATTTTATTAATTATTAAACAAATGTTGCATTGCAATAAACATGAACATTACTTAAGTTATGTTAACTTACAGTTCACAATAAATAAATATAAACTTGTTAATCTCTTAACAGTCTACATTCTCTAAATAATCTTATTTCTCCACTGGCAGTTTGTGTGTGGGAGGGAGATGCACTTGAGGCTGCATCACTTGGTGCTGAGGTGGATGAGGTGGCTGCAGTTACATTAGTAGGCCCAGGATTTGCAGAGGTGGGGGACAAATACTTCAGAAGTGCATCTAAAAAGAGGAGATACATAAATTTGAACAAACTGGGCTTTTACAATATGTTAATCAAATAGCTGTTGATTGTGAAACCATCATGGCATAACCATAATAGCACCTAACATTACAGCCTGCCTTGATCTAATGACATTTTAAACACAGCAAACAGCCAAAATATAAAAAATGCAACTGTAACATCACAAATTGGACAAATCTGAGAATTGGAAAACATAAATATGCAGTATATGAATATATGTCTGGTTGGTAAACAGTGAGTGGTTTGTGCAGCAGCACACTAAACATTAAAAGAAAAGATAGGCCAGTATATTCAATTATGTTGCTTATTCATTCCATCAAACATTTTGAGTCTTTCTTTCCAACTTTCTCTAAGATGGGAGCGACATTAACTGACATTAACTCTAGCTGAATGCTTAAAGTATTCCTAAAATAAGTGGCTAGTGAAGTCGCAGTAACATTGACATTACGTAGTAGTAGCCTAACCGCTAATCATTAGCGGCTAATGAGCTGACGTTAGCTTGCAAGTGCTTAAGTAACTGTAACTTACGTTGTGTTTCTACCATTTTAAATGAAGTGTTCATCACATCACATCATTACCTCGGTCTCGTTCACGTTTCTCCTCCTCTTCTTTTCTTTGTTTTTATACTGCGCCCCAGAGGGCTTTGCCTCTTCATGATGATGGCACCCGACTGTCAGTTTGTCACTCAGGAGCATCACATTACAGAAGACAGCAGGTAGCGGGGTGAGGGGGGAGGGGGGCGAAAGTTAAGGATTGTGGCGAAATTGATGCTGCCTGCCAGACAGGCAGAAGGATGCCAAGCAGGCAGAAATTTAAATTAGAAATATTATTTCATTATTATTTAAAGACATATGGCTATATGTACTGTTGTTGTTTTGTAGTGTATTCTTGTCTAATTTTTCGAATAGAATGGGGAAGAAAAAAAAAAAAACATCTCACTCCCTGGCGCCCTCTGGCATGCTGGTGCCTATAGCATTTGCCTAACCTGCCCTATGGGCGGCACGGCCCTGCCGCTTTGAGATGTCCTCATGATGTCAACATACCTTTCATGGGAAGAGTGCTAAGACACCATGACGAGTTCTGTCTTGCAGGCTGTCAGTGTCTCTGTGTAAATGGAAAAACATACATGGACAGTAACTAATTTTTTGTTTTCTTTACACCATCACAAGAAACAGGTCGTGACAAGAAAACTGGAGACAAACAATATCTAAAGTATTCTTGAGCCGGGATGACAGGGTTTTAAAACACATTAAAAAGCACACTGAATACACAGAAAACAATACGGTACACGAAATTGTGACAACGAGTGAAGAGTGAATCAAGAATAAAACTCCAATTTTAGGACTGTATAGTAGACAATGATGAGATAAAAGACCAAATTAAATGAGATTGTAATGGAGTGATCCTATTTTCATAGGAATGAATGGGGTGCCATCTGTAAAGCTATATCCACTTCACTTTATGGTGAATGGTTTACTTCCTGTCAGTTGACTTTCTTTCATTAACAAACATCCTAACAGGAAATGCAAAGAGACCTATTTCGAATGTTTATGTTGTCAAGTCTGAAATGGTCTACAGAGCTTCAGAGATTCATTCATTCATTTTCCGTATCCTGCTTATCCTGTTGGGGGACTGGAGCCTATCCCAGCTGACATTGGGCAAGAGGCGGTGTACAGGTCGCCAGACTATCACAGGGCTGACGTAAAGAGACAGACAACCATTCACACTCACATTCACACCTATGGACAATTTAGAGTCACCAATTAACCTGCATGTCTTTGGACTGTGGGAGGAAGCTGGAGTACCTGGAGAAAACCCACACTAACACGGGGAGAACATGCAAACTCCTCACAGAAAGGCTCCCCCACCCTGGGTTCTAATCAGGAAACCTCTTGCTGTGAGGAGACAATGCTAACCACTGTATCACTGGCACGGTGGTACAAACTGGGTGATACTGTAATCATTGTGTAATGATTAGTTCATAGATATCTTTGAATCAACATAGTGACCTTCTCATTCCTGATGTGTATGTGCTCTGAGTATAATTAAAACAGTTTTCTTAGAACTCTGAATCTGCAGCTCTTTTTGGCTCCACTTAGCTTCATAGTGAGTTTCAGTTCATTTTTTTTAGCTGCCCAGCTGCAACTTCACTGTTGTGGTTCACTCTCACCTCTCTCAGAGTTTCATTTTTGTGAGAAGCAGACATACACAGTTAGAGACTAGCTGGTGAAAAGAGTGGAGCATTTAGCAGCTGAAGAAAAGGGTTTTTTTTGAAAAACAAATATCTCCATTTTCATATATTTCCCTAAATCATGTTGTGTGTATGTGTGTGTGTGTGTGTGTGTGCGCTTGTGTGTGTGTGTGTGTGCAAGCCAGCAGGGAATATCAGTCAAACTGGTGGTCTATTCATTTTAACAATGGCTCTTATCTGTTTACGCAAATCATCTCCTTCCCTCAGGAGCCAAAACTGAGTGACTATTGGACTAACATTCATCAGGTGGATACAAACACAAAGTCAAATGCATGATCTTTTAACTCTGTGGCTGCTGGACGTGTAAATAAGCATATGTTTGCTAACAAGTTTGCCATATATGAAGAAACGTTATAGAGTGCCCCAGGAATGAGTCCTAAAATCCAGAAATAAGTTAGCATTTTATCACTTACAGTAAGTCAATGAGTTTTTTTGAATGGGGTTTTGGATAGCTGCCTGAAATATGGTCTGTGGTTAATACGAGCTGAAGAGACTTTCACGTTTTATTGTACAACATGAAATATGTCAGTAAATCCCTCCCTCCCTCTTGAACTTTAAAACTCTATATTAAAAAAGGTGGTTGCCTACAAGTGGCTAAATGAGACTACACGACGTCATCACGTCATGCCAACACCGATCAGGGCTTTACAGTCTTGTTATGGTGGTGATGTTGGGTCATGTGACTGTAGTCTGTTTATAGCCTAACGATAGCTTTTTACTTCTGGCAATTGCATTTACTTTCAATAATCATGACAGTTGTGTTCATCTGTGAAGATTATCGTGCTAAACAAATGTGTAAGTATCATAAACTTTTTTTTGGCCATAGAGCTTATTTTCAGCAATAATCCAAAATTGAGAAGAACAGAAAAATGTCATCCCAGGGGCACTATCGCTGCATCAACTTGTTTCTGCTGCCCCCCAGTGGCTAAAAAAATCTATGTGTGTTGATTTAATTGATGTAAGGATGAAAAAAAAAACAATGTCCCATGTATAGTTATTCTGTTTCCCATTGTTAACTGCGACCATTTTAATAGACTTTGCATTGGCATTATTTTTGTGTTGCCACTCACCATTTACCATTAAACACACCTGTCCAGCAGACATCTACAAAGGCAATAGTGGGATGTAACTACGTGCATTTACTCAAGTACTGTGCCTGATTACAAATTCAAGGTAATTGCACTTTACTGTAACTTCCTATTTCTACTCCACTACCCTTGTCTAAGGTTTAGTTACTTTACAGGTGACAGTTTCTCATCTCCCTCTGTACAGTGACAAACATGTATCTCCAGATGTGTTGTTGAATGTCTGTGATAAACCGAAGGATGAAGTGTTCTTTATGTGTTGACAAAGTAATCCTACGTCTTAAGCTTAATAAACCCTCTAAAGACTCTCTTGGATCAGCTGAAAAATGCATCGTCATGACGCTAAAAACACGGCTGTTTTTCTGACACCGCTTTGTTGAATGAGTGTTAGCTGTTTTATTTACAACTCTGTTTGATTCTGTCTCCGGCTTTTTCTTTTTAGATTCAGACTTTGCTGACGACAACAACTGTCTTTCCATGTTAAAATCAGGACTGACACAATTTCATCGGCTATGTTTAGTTATGTGAATGTATGGCTCCTCCACGTGCCCACTTTGGTATCCGTCTACTTCCAGTACAAACTGGGAAGGCTGCTGTAAATTGTTCAACTTAACTGCAGCTTTCTATTACAGGAAAAGCAAATTCAATGTCAAACAGGCCTAATGTGTTTGGGTGTTTAAGGGAGGGTAAAGCATTTCCTGTGGGTATGTCATGTGTCTCTGCACTATGGGTTTATATCGTCTGATCTCTGTGTAGTTGCTGTTGAGCAACAAAGATCAGACAAACATCTTCTCTCACACACATGAACACATACTAATGCTGCTGTTAATGATCTCATTTTGTTTTCAGAACATAAAGACCAGATAAAATTCTCACAAACATACTTAAAAAGAAATAACAGGAAAACATTATAAAGGGCGGGATACTTGTTTGTTTGTCCTCCTTCTCTGTATTAGTCCAGCCCCTGCTATTGGCTGGCTTCTGACCAATCACATTGTCTGTGGTCCCACTATACTATGCTTTGCCCCTGGCAGTGACTACAGACTCAGGAGTTTTTATTGTGAAGTCCACAAGGTTCCCCTCATCTTTCTTCACTTTAGTTTTAATCCTTACTGGGAATAAAGCAACCTGATCTAAAGGTCCTGACAGCAGCAGCAGATTCGCTTCGCCCTTCAGGTGAGAAACAACTCGTCTTTTTGCTTTTCTGTTCTGCTTTTCCTCATGCTGAGCTGAATACCCGAGAGGCTCAAGGTGTCTTTAGACAATGAAAAACATCTGTAGGCCCTAAAAAAACAGGTGGAAAAACTCAGCGGTCATTAAAGTTCAGATGTGAGGTACTTGTTTTCTCTACACTTTGTAAGGTTTCTGTTGGACAAAGTCTTCAATTATTAATTTAAAATACTAAAACAGAAAAAGAAAAATTGACAATGTGAAAGTAAAGTTTGACTCAGGTAAAAATAAACAACCATTAGCGGTAAAACTTATATATGAAAAGTTCGCACTCGTGAAAAAGGCTCTCTGTCGGAGTCTGTTCAGACGTCACACACTACTTTATTTGTTGATATTTTTTCCGTGTATAGTGAGAGCAGCCAGGACGTCACTAGCAGGTAGAGACGAACTGCTGCCACCGTCTTAAGGTTTCCCAGGAAGTAAAACTTGTCAGGGCAAACACTGATATCTGATCCCAGTGTTTACAGCACAGTCAAGGAATCCTGTATCTACTTTGTGTGCGTTATCAGCTGTGGTATCTACTATCACTTGGCTGAATAGCACCACAAATACAGACTGGTTGGACAACCTCCCCAACACATGTAAACACACTGCTTTAAGGTGTTTAGTTGTTTTACAAATCACCTGTCAAACCACAGTGGGCAGTTAACATAACAATTATCCTCATGTTTCTCTGTGTGAACAGCCACATACTGAAAACAACAATCGAAAACCTTTAAAATCTCTAGTTACCCAGAGCCCAAAGTGGCATCTTTAAGTTGCTTGTTGTGTCCGACCAGCTGGTCAAGACCAGCAAATTAAAGGAGGTTGGAACCAGATCATATTTGATAATGACCTAAATGATGAAATTTACTCTTCTGTACGTCAATGCTGCTCTGCAGATGTTTCTCTTATTTCATCAGGCTTCTGTTTATTTTCCAAATTCTTAGTAGATCTGAAGAAATGTGATTTGTCTTAGACGTTTAAGAAAACATGGGGGACACAGCCACACGTGTACAATCAAACTATAATGAACATATAGCATCAACCCCAGATCCATCCACCCCAAGAGAACTGCACGATGTCGTACACCCAAGTGTTGCACAGATGCTCTGCTTAAAGTAATTGCACAAAAGTCCTATACAAAATAATTGCACACATGCCCTACACGTAGTAGCTGCACAGATGCCCTGCACAAGGTTATCATAAATCTAGTCAGCTTATTACTGCATGTCTTTATAATCTTCTGTAGTCATAATAAAGAATAACGTGATTTACAGTGTAATTTCATCCTACGAATCGGGTACCAGTAAAATATTTACCGGTTCTCACTGTTACCTAAATGTAGTTTCAGTGGAAAAAAATTTTGAGGAACAACTGGAGATTTTAGAAGAAAAGGGAAGTACTGAGAAACTCTGCTGAATTTATTAAGTAATGGTGTAATGTATTACTCAGCTGTAATATGCTACCAAATGTGTGGGGACACAGTAAGGTAATGAAAGAGGCTTTGGGTAAAGCTGTCTTAACCCAGAAAGAGATGTTATTGAAGAACATATTTTATTTATTTATTTACTTAATTCAACCCATATTTAACCTGGTAAGTCCCGTTGAGATCAACAATCTCTTTTACAAGAGAGACCTGGTCAAGACAGCAGCACACAGTTAGTTACAGCAAAACAACCCCACAACAAAAAACAGAAAAGATAAACAGAAACATGTAGAACACCTACGCACAATGACAAGATCCAACTGACTCATTCAACCATGTACTTATGAGAGCTTTAAAATCACACAAAGAGGCCAATTCGCATAGCTTCCTTTCCCAGCTCAGTCACTAGGAACAGACAACAAAAAAAGTCTTGAGATCTCAGACTATAGCTACAGTCAGACCTCTGTTCAATCAATGTACAAATTAATCAAAATACTTGGGTTACTTTTGAAAAAAGAAGACAAGGTACTCACTAAAGCCCTTTCTCCACTGCATGAGAAACCAGCCAACACCCACTAGCATCTGGCTTATTAATGAAGTGGGAAAGGTTACAATCAGCATTCACACTCACGGCAAATGATTCTGCAGTAGTCGAAGGTATTTATCAGCTTTTATCACCATTGATGGAAACACAACACCAGGGTGAACATGTTTTAATTTTTTTTTTTTTTTTTTAATAAATGTTAGCTTTACCAGTGAGATCCATTGATGCACCACCACAAAATACCGTCCATCTTTGCTCAAGCAGCACTCAAACATAATTCCAAATGAGTCTGCACCAATTTTGAAAGAATGACTGGATAAGTAAGACATATATAACAAAAAAGTAACCGCCGTCAAGTTTTCAAGGCTTTCTACTGTTCACCAATCTGTTTTCCGGCCTGTCCATGACACTGAACCCACTGAAAAAACATACGGACACACACCAGCAGATGCTGCAGAGGCATGTACAAAACTCCTGTCTACAGGCGATGGAAATGTAGTCTATAGCCCATTTTTAGCGGGTTTACCAGTGTTTTAAAAACATGTGCAAATTTGGGTGGAAACAGGATATAATGTTAGGATACAGCAACACATACTGTAGTTTTGTAGTAGGAAGCTAAAAACATTTCATTTCAGTTACTTCCTTGTTCCCCATGATCTTATTTTTCTCCACTGTATTAGATTTAATGTGGAAACAGACAATTTTTTCTCAAAATTATGACTCAATTCTCATAATTACAGCTCTTGTCTCAAAATATTATTATTGTAAATAAACAAATATTGTATTTCTTAGAATATTCAAAAGACTATTTTTTTCTCTTAAATATGAATAATTACAAATACACTGTTTTCAGTTGGACATTGTGTGGATTATCACTGGTTGTGACATACATAAACTTAATAACTCAAGTAAAAGTAGCAAAACCAGAGTGTAAAAATACTTCATTAATACTCCACTAAAAGCATATAAGTCCTAATATAAGCTAAAGGTTGGAAGTAATCAGAAAATGAGGTGGAGCGACTACAACAGGCTGCACAAGCATTACAAAATTTAAAAAATAGTGCCCAATTTTAATGAGCACAATTTTTTTATGTTCAAGACGTGTTATCAGCAGCAATATGTACATTAAGTACCAAAAGCTGTCCTTTGCAGAATGGCCTCTTGTACAGTGTTATTTTATTCTGTAAATTAAATTATTGTAATATTATTAAAGATATGTCAATCTGTAAGCAGCATTTTAAAGTTTTAGCTGGTGAATGTGGGGTCATTAAAATAATTAATCTAGTGTCAGAATGTTTAATTTATAACAATGCATCAAATTTTAGAAGCTTGTCATTTCTTTCATTATATAACTTTAAATTGAGTCACTAGCTGCTCCAGAGAACTGCAGCATGATATGAAATAATATCCAGTACAGGAGGTGTTTGACTTTGAGACGGTACATTCTTTACAGTCCTTACAGGCATGTTTATTGACTGACTGGTCTTATATTTGTACTGTATCTGTTTGCTTTTTCCGCAGCAGAGACTTTCCATTACAACTGAAAGATAAATAATGGGATAGGAGACACTCAGGACTAGTTCTAACAGGTTTAGTCACCGTGTCTTTATGTTGCATGTTCACAAACTCCCTTGTCAGCCGACCCCCACCCATCTGTCAGTTTGGAGCCACCTGCTTTACATAAACACAGGACACGCACTGTATGAATTTAGCTTTCAGCACCAATCTGTCTGTCTATCCTGTAGCTGTCATCAGATGTTTATGTTGTAGCACTAAAGTTGTTTTATATGCTGTTGACATGGACTTTTCATCGTGGCAGGAACACACAAAAAAAGGGAGTGAGAGGGACCTATCTGGCAGGAATGACATTATTAGAGTGTGCATAAAGACGCTAAACTATAAGAATGACTATGTGGAGTGTTTGTGCGCTGTCTGTGGTGCTGAAGACCATTTCAACGATAAACAATGTGTCAAAGCAGCTGTATACATTTCACTTACTGGTTTTTCTTTGGCAATGAGCTAATAAAACTCAGCCCAAGGTTGTTGTTTTTTTAAATAAATTAAACGTTTAATGTTTTCCACCCTCTCACAAAGAATTCATTAAAACGTATAAACCAAACACACACTTTCCATAGACTGTAAAAATAATGAATGTAGCTATCAAGATGTCATCTATCGGCATTTAAAATATATCATTATTATTTTCATTAATAATTTTTCATGTTTTGTTAAACATTTTTTGCTGTTCATATTCATTTTCATCATCCTGTACTTTTACCCTCAGATATTCCTGGGTTTTTTTCTCTATGATAATTTGGCTGTTTAGATAATTATTGAGAGAAAATGCATAAATGAAAGAAATAACCTGAATCTGTTTTTAATTAAACTTTTTTGAAAATCTTCAAATTTTATATTTTTACTTGACCAGCACTGACATAGTGTTTTTTTCCCCATGAAATATTTGTTAATTTATTTTACTTCTCTAAAGAAATGAAGGTATAACACACACCTTAATAAACTAAATAAATAATACTTTGACCTGCTGTATAAAGTCAGAGTCAGTAACACATATTGCCGGGTATTTTATCTTTATAGTGTGTGACCGAAACCACAAAATACATTTTTATGTGTTTATGTGTGTGTATTTTGTAGCCTGTTACATAGGCCTCAGGCGAGTAAAAGGGATGTCTGACTTTATGAGACATGTCTGCTGTTAACACATAGCTATCTACATGCACGCACGCGCGAGCGCGCACACACACACACACACACACACACACACACACACACACACACAATAGCTTGGTGCAGATACAGTAATACCACGCATGCCTGTACTTGTTGCGCCATAAATAGACTTCTTAACATGCCAATAATGTTTCCCTTCTCTTTCTATTTGTCTTTTTTGTTCTCTCTCCAGCCATCATGAAAATAGCATCTTTTAACATCCAGAAGTTTGGAATAAACAAAGTGTCAGACCCAGATGTCCTCAGTATCCTGGTTAAGGTAACAATGATGTGAAAGCACACACAGTGTTGCTGAAGCCATTTAGAAATGATTAATTATGGAAACCAAAGTTGAGTTATTAATTAAATGAAATGAGTGAATGTATCAGAAATGCATCACAAATCTGGCCATTAACATTAGCTTTGAGAAATGTACAGTGGGATGTGTTAACTGATCAGGACCTAGACTTCTTACTTATACTTACTAAGGCAGAAACCAAGAGTTTAGAGACAAAACTTCCTCCCTCTTTCCCTCTCTTCCCCAGGTCGTGTCTAGATATGACATCACTGTGATCCTGGAGGTGGTGGACATCAGTGGAGAGTCTGTAAAAATCTTCCTAGATGCACTCAACAAGTGAGTGCAGGCTTTAGCGCTTGGTTTTTTTTTCCTTCTTTTTTTAAAAAAAAAAATTATTATTAGCACGTTAAGCTCACAATGGCAATGCCTAACCATGCTCACCATCTACAGCTGAGGCTGATGGGATTTATTTGAACATAAATCAAACACACATTAAATTCTTTACCTGATGACATTAGATTTTAAGTAAATGGGTCACCATAATTGACCCAGTTAAATTTAATGGCAATTTATCCAATAGTTGCTGAGACAAGAGGAAAAATTAACAGTCAAGGGGAGTCATCAATGCAAAATAAATATGTGTGTTAAAAATGGTATGTTAGTTTTGAATTTGAATTTCTTTCAACATATATGTTATGGCACCAGCAGATACAGATTACACACAGTGTTGAAATATGTTTGATCTGACTTTGAAGCTCTGTAAGTGGAAATTCAATGAACATTTACATTATATCTGTCTGTCTAGAGCCAACCCTAAACATCACTACACCCTGAAGATCAGCAGTCGTCTGGGCCGAACGCGCTACAAGGAGCAGTTCATGTTCCTGTACAGGTGAGTTTTCACCTGCACCAGATTCTTGTTGATTCCCCATAAAAATGAAAAACTGTAATGAGTTATAAGAGGAGCTATAGGTCTTGTCAATCAGTTTTTGAAAGAACCGGACTCTCAGACATCTCTGATCGCCAGAGAACTACTGAGCTAATCATTTGAAGCTACATATTAATAATGCTTTGGTGTGTGTGTGTGTGTGTGTGTGTGTGTAGGGATGACTTGGTTGACCTGGTAGGCTCCTATCAGTTTGATGACCAGGTGACTGAGGGAGGAGATGTTTTTGCTAGAGATCCCTACATCCTGCGATTCAGATGCCTCAATACAGGTAGAGGACGTCTGTCTTGCACACAGAGGAGCACTAGGAGTGTTTTTAAAGAAGAGACAATATCTTCAAAAACATAAAAACTTAAGGATATGCAACAACACTTTTCACCTCTTTAGATTATGGGCTTAGGCTTAGGTTTAACTCTGGGCGTAATAAATGTAATAGCAATGTTTACAGGAGGCAATGACTGTGTGTGTGTGTGTGTGTGTGTATGTGTGTGCCCACCACAGTACTGAAGGACCTGGTGATGATCCCAGTTCACACCAAACCAGATGACTCGGAAAAGGAGCTGGATGAGCTCTACGATGTCTTCCAGCACATCAAGAAGAAGTGGAGGACTGATGTAAGGACATGACAAAATTCGTATGCTGACTATTGTAATGCAATTACAGGTACTGTGTTAACAATATTACACTGATTTAGTACAGTCATGCCCAAATAGGGGTGCCTGTATCCCAATGGATGGAGTAGCTAAACCACAAAAAAAGAAAAGAAAAAAAAAACATACAATTTGATTTAGAATATATAGGCTACTGTAACATTATTCAAATAGTAATGTATAAACAGTTAAAACTGTTATCTAAAAGTAATGGATGAATTATTTAAATGTTTCTGTTGTTAATGTCATGGATAAACACTTACAATAGTTCACTAAAAGTAATGGATAGCCTGAATACCTGAAGTAGTTATGGATGGATAAACAGAATTTGTTAGTTAAAGTAGGCTAATGGATAAACAGTTGAAATAGTAAGTTAAAAGTATCGATAAACAGTAGAAATAGATAAAAGTAGTGGATAAACTAGACTCACAAGTCAGTCTTTAGACGCTTTGCTTAACTAAAGACTGATGACTTTCTCCCTGATTTTGTGTTTAGATGGGCGGATACAATTTCAGAGTTTAAAAAAACTCCCTACGTTGCAGAACCAATAGTAAATCCGCAGGGTGGTCCTTCGGTGGCTCGCTGAACTCTTGTGCTTGTAAACATAGTCCCACTAGAAACACATGTAGCGGTACAAAATGGCTCAGCTGTGCTCGCAGAAAACGCCGCCAAAGTTCAGTGGATGTTTGTCGCGTTTGCGGCGACACATTCTCGCCAACTAAAAGAAACAAACATAATCTTTTACAAGACCATGACTCATCCGTCCGGCCGGACTATAGAGGGAATCGCCTTGTTGTTTACAAATATTTCCAGGTAGAAAACCAGCAGAGCTTTTAGCTATATATATAGCCTATACATCTATGTATCATTGTTTGGACTAATCCGATGTTTGTAAAGTCTATAAACACAATGATTGAACAAACATTACTATTTCTATGTGCACATTTAGCTGGGCTAACCGTTAGCTGTTAGCCCTGTTAGCCGTTAGCGTTGTCTGTAATAGGTAATAACTCATTAAACGGTCTGTGAAAAAAATATCTTTTCCAGCGGATATCTTAGTTACAACATGATTGAGCTAGCAAAGCAGTTTTGTGTGGCTATGTGTGGTATTTATTCAGTTTTGGGAAATCACGATGTCTAGAAAGCACCAGCAGCTGCAGCTGACAGGGACAGCTAACAGCAGCAGCAAAGCTAACATCAGGACGTCATCTGTTAAAAGCCTCCCGTTGTCGGATACGACATGAAACTACTCCAGTTAGCTCAATCATGTTGTAACTAAGATATCTGCTGAAAAAAAATATTTTCTTCACGGATAAGCACACATTTGATAAAATCGAGTTAAATCTCTCAGCATCCATTTTCAAGCTCTCAAGCCGTGTGTTTGTTTCCTTGTGGACAAGAAAAGGAGGAGCGCACATTTCCGAGAAGGCATGTCCTTTTCAAAAATGCAAGAGGCGTTGCTTTGTTGCCGGCCATTTTAGCTGGTGTGTTAAACACACTTTAGAAAGGAGTGTCCCCAGACTATCAGAAGGCAGAGATCTCTGATTGTCTGGTGGCGAGACTATGGATGAACAGGTGAAACCATGAGCTCAAAGTAATGGATTTAGTTGAAATAGTTAGCTTTTAAATAGTTAGCTAAAAGTATTGGATGAACAGTTAAAACTGCTTGATAACGGTAACATTAACAGATTAACAGTTGAAATTGCTTGATAAAAGTAAGGTAAATGGATAAACATTTAAAATAGTTAAAAGCAATACATAAACAAATTGTTAGCTAAAATTAGGTCTAATGGATAATCAGTTGAAATCGTTAGCTACATGTTATGGAAAATGGTTGAGAAAGTTAGCTAAAAGTAATAACAGTTTAACTTGTGAGCTAAAGTGATGGCTAAATAGTTAGCTAAAAGTTATGAATAATAGCTGAAATACTTAGCTAAGTGTATTGGACATACACTAAATCGTGAGTGAAAAGTAATGGATAAATAGTTAAAAAGTTTGTAGTAAAAAAGTAACAGTTGAAATCATTAGCTAAAAGTATGGCACAAAGGAAAATTAGCTGCAAGTATTGTATTAACGATTTAAATTGTTAGCTAAAAGTAGCCCTAATGCATACTGAAATTGTGAGCTAAAAGTGATGGATTATAGTTGAAATAAACAGTTGAAGTCGTTAACTACAGGTAATGGATAAACAGTTGAGGTCGTTAGCTGAAGGTAACAGATAACTTACACTTACACCTTAAAAGTAAGGGATACACAGTTGACATCGTCAGCTAAAAGTAATGGATACACAGCTGACGTCGTTAGCTAAAAGTAACGGATACACAGTTAAAGTTGTTAGCTAAAAGTAACAAATACACAGTTGACGTCGTTAGCTAAAAGTAATGGATAACGTTACACAGTTGACGTCGTTAGTTAAAAGTAACGGACACACCGTTAAAGTCGTTAGCTAAAAGTAACAGATACACAGTTGACGTCGTTAGCTAAAAGTAATGGACACACAGTTAACGTCGTTAGCTAGTTCGTTAAAAGTAACATTAATAGCTAAACAGTTGAAGTCGTAAACTACAGGTAATGGATAAACAGTTGAGGTCATTAGCTAAAGGTAACAAATAACTTACACAGTTGACATCGTTAGCTAAAAGTAAGGGATACACAGTTGACATCGTTAGCTAAAAGTACGTTAACGAATACAGTTGACGTCGTTAGCTAAAAGTAACTGATACACAGTTGACGTCGTCATCTAAAAGTAACAGTTGATTTCGTTAGCTAAAAGTAACGGATACACAGTTGGCCTCGTTAACCAAAATTAACGGATACACAGTTGGCGCTGCCAGCTAAAAAGCACTGATAACGTTACACAGTTAACGTTGTTAGCTAAAAGTAACGGATACACCCTTGACGTCGTTAGCGAAAAGTAACGGATATACAGTCGAAATCGTTAACTAAAAGTAATGGATACACAGTCAAACTCGTTAGCTAAAAGTAACGGATATATAGTCAAAGTCGTTAGCTGATAGTAGGGGTTATACTGTCAGTTAACGTAGGTAAGTTAACGTTACTTAATACAAAACACCAAGTGGATAAATGGCTGAATTAGTTAAAAGTAATGGCGGTATGGTTGAAAAAAGTCATCAAAAGAACAATCTGAGAAATTCTGGAAAATTACAGTGTTTGTATGTGTCAGATGAAAAGAGCATGGCCCAGTTTACCTGTTTGGGGCACAGATTTAAGTGGACACACTGGGCTGCTGTTGACACCTGTGTTGATGTTCTTCTACCTCTGTGCTGCAGAACGTAATGATCCTGGGTGACTTCAATGCAGATGGCTTGTACGTCTCCAAGAAGGAGATGAAGGGCATCCGTATCCGCAGTGACACAAACTTCCACTGGTTGATTGGAGATGATGTTGACACCACTGCAAGCACCCGAAACAACCACACATACGACAGGTAACACATGCAACAGGTAACATGCACAAACTCCAGTGGAAATAAAATACAATAAACTGCATGTTTGAAAATGTCCATATAAAAGTACTTCATTTGTTTTAACTGTACCAGCTACAACACAAATGCTGGATACCACTTTATAAGGCATATTTCATAAGGGTTTCATTAATTGTGATGAATGGTTGTATTATAATTTCTTAAATAATTTAATAATACTCATAGGCCATCAAGCTTTTTGGTTGCTAGCTTATAAAAAAATCATTTGGCTGATGTATCCTGCTTTCTAAGAAGCCTTTCACGATTAATATTTTGATAAATAAGTACATTTTTGCTTGAAATACTTGAAATGCTTCTATTGTTTTAGGAAATATATATTTATTAAAGGCTTTTATTTTCTGTTTTTACTTAAATACTGGATAGATCTCTTAACTAATGACAGGTGCACACCCACCTACTCCCCAAATAAACTGCAGATAATCAACCAGCAGAATTTGAGCTTTTATTTGAGATAAAGGAGTAAGGCAATAGTTGGACATTTTGGGATGTACACTTATCTGCTTTCTGGTGGAGAGTTAGATGAGAGGATGGATACCACTTGAAAGGCTGAGAATGGTATCAGTCTTCTTATCTCACTAAGCAAGAATATTAGTGTTTTCCCAAAAACATCAATGTATTTCTTTAAGTTGCCTGAAATAAGGAGAAACAGCTTAATCAAGGTTCATTTGGCTTTGCCTCATTTGTTTGCATTTTTTATATTTTACGTATTTATACACTGAACTTTTTGTTGTTTTTATAATGACTGCTGCAGAGTACAGTAAAGTGAAGTGTAACATCTCAAGAGACCAATTTACATACTATGAGTGAAATATATGCTGTATGTCTCTGTTCAGGATAGTGGTTTACGGAGATGACATGCTCCAGGCCGTCGTTCCAAACTCAGCCAAACCTTTCAACTTCCAGAAGGCATACGGACTCAGTGAGGAGCAGGTCTGATGTTGTTTCCTTGCTTTACTTTGACAAAGGCTGAAATTATTTTTCGTGCTGTTGTTTAGAGTCTTAGTCTTTAAGTGTGAACTCAGTTTGGCATCACATAATATGTTATAAAACCACAGAATTCAAACACAATTTTTCTACTTATCAAATCAGACAAGATAACATCTTCTGTGTGAGTGGAAATTTTGGTGCACACATATTAGGCCACCCTTTACACAGTGTACATGTACTGTATGTAATGATCCTGTGGGGAGCAGGAAAATGGAACTCTTACTCCTGCTTTAAATTTGGCTAACACAACTTTGGTTCACATTCACCCAAAATAATGTAATAGCTCTAAACTGACATTGTCAATCAATAAATAATTGTTCATTTTTCAGGCTCTGAAAGTGAGCGACCATTATCCTGTGGAGGTCCAGCTGAAGACGACAAATAACACACATGAGGCACATGAGGAGGATGGTAACCAGCACAATTATTCTTGCATATTTATTATAATGTACTAGCACTACTATTATTGTGAAAAATAAGTACAAAATTAATCTTTAGTTTGTGTTAAATTATAGAGTTTTTTTTGTCTTATGTGAAAAAAATTAGCGATACTATCTGGCTAATTTTTAGTTTTAACCCCCACCTCACGGGCCCTAGTGCAACTTCACTGCCTGCACCGTCTATATTTACGCCTCCTGGCTAATACACTTTTTGAAGAAACTACAAAACCACTGTTTTTCTGTTTTAGACAAATATTTAAAAGCGTTTTCAAACTTAATCTCTCCAGAGACAACTGGACATCATGATGTTCACTTTGACCTTTATGAGAAGCATATTTCATAATTACCAGATAAAGATATCATAATAATTAGATAAAGATATTCTAGCTAAGATATATAAAGTCATAGTTATAAGCTAAGGCCTCAAAGCTCTGCCCCTTTAACTCAAATTCAGAGTTTCTGGTACCGGTCTTTTTAAGTAAAAATGGCTATTCACCATTTAACAACTTCCTGGAGCCTTAGCTGGTTTCCTGACAATCATCCCTGCCCAAGAGCCAGTCCGGCACATAACGCCTTTGAAAATGAAAATGGTCATTTTTACACTTTGATTTATTTTTTGGGAAGTTTAAACAAACAAGATAGGGTAATTCATGAATTTAAAAATTGCTGGTAGGTGGATTTAGTTTCTGTTGGACGGAGCCAGGCTAACTGCTTCCCTGTTCCAGTCCTAATGCTAAGCTAACTCGCTGCTGTCCTCAGCCTTATATTTTACCAATAGATAAGAGAGTGATACTGATCTTCATATTTCTCTATCTGAGAGTAAACAATTTCCAAAAATGTCAAACTACTCCTTTAAAGATGAGACGTGCTGATGTGGCCGCAGTGCTAAGTGGATTATGTGGTTTTTCTCTTCAGGTCAGACCGAGCAGCCACTTCAGTCGTTACTGTCGCGGCTCGTGGTTGTGGATGAGGATCTGATGGAGCTGAAGAGAGGAAACCTGATGCTGGAGAGGGAGAAGCTCAACCTGGAGATCCAGATCCTTCGGATGAAAATGGCCAGCATGAACAGCAGCAGAAATGAAGTTTAAACTCAGGAAGCCTGATCCGTCCAAAACTCCCAATAGAACATTAAAATCCTACCTTAACCCATTACATACAGAACCTCTCTGAGTGGTCAACTTGACTGTCAGACCAAACACTAGCTATTCACCTGACACTGCGATTGTTCTGGGTTCACACCACTGATATCTCAGGCTTCATCCTGGATTGCTGCTCCCTCGCCAATATGAACTGACAGAGATGAACTCTTTTCATGTTAGTGAAACTGGATCATGGAACTGGATCATGCATTGCACAAGTCTGGACAAATTCTACTATTCTACTGTGACCTGACAGGTTTGGACCTAGTTGGGTGTCATTTTATTCACCATCTTTTTAAACAATATGTTGAATCATTAAGTGGCATCTTCTTTTGAAAGGTAAAGCCGGTATCATTTGATTCAAATATCTTGAGGAGAATTGCCTGTGATGATTAAAGAGAATAATCGCTTACTGATTTTGTCACAGCACAGGCAGTACAGGAGGAATTATTTTTTAATAAAGGTTGAAGGTTGCCTTTGAAGCTTCAGAAACCAGAAAACAAGGAAATGCTATAAACAAGAGCTACATAGACGGTATCATAAAAGTTAATTAGTACGGTAATAAGGAAAATGGATCACAATGTTTGTTTACAGTAACTACCAGGTCGAAAACCCACAACTCACATACATAAAACAAAATGGTGCTAACGCTGCCTGTATTGTTTTTTTGTGGCCCAAAAATGATCAACAAAAATCAATATTGGTTCAAATGGATGCTATATTTGATATATTTTCACTGCTTTATGGTGCCGTCACATAGCCCTTTCTGACAGGAAACTAAAGGCTGTTTCCTTAAAGCCAACAGACTCCACTGATAAAAACTGATTCTATCAGGGGCAGAAACTGCTAGTCTGCCGCTGCCTTGATTGATTAGTGTGTAAGGTAAAATGGAGAAAATATTTCAAATATACCACACACCTAAACTGATACTGATTTTTTTAGGGGTGGATTATTTCAAATGGCTTAAAAATGCTACAATTTGCTGTGGCTTCCATGCTGGTAGATTTGGTTTATCAAAGATGCTAGTAAAAAAATACTACATAAAATAAGCACAGCAGAAATGTCAGACAGTTCGGACAACTGTGTTTAACTATACAGGAGTTTCAGCTGAAAATGACACCAGAAATAAACAAGTTTGCCAGATTCACATATCTCTTCAGTTGAAATGAAATCACAGTTGTCTTCCTGGAAGTGATTGTTGTTGTTAGCATGAGGTTATGGTGATTCAGTCTATGCATATTCTTCTGACAAGATGTTATAAGTCTTCATTAACAGGCAATGTATCACAGTCCTTTAAATTAGCTGTAATTAAACCTAAAAAAAAATCCAGATCCAGAGCCGTTCACCAACTGTAGACACATATCTAATCTTCCCTTTCTTTCACAGATCCTTGAAAAAGTAGTTGCAAACAAGCTGTGTGACTTTCTCCAGGGTAATAATCTATTTGAGGATTTTCAGTAAGATTTAGGATTTAAAGTGCATCATTCTGTAGCACAGAGACGCACGAGTTAAATAATCCTCTGATTGCTTCTGACGAAGGACTCGTCTCTGTACTTGTTTTATTAGATTTGACACAATTGACTTTCAAATGCTGCTACAGAGACCGGAACATTTAATTGGCCTAAAAGGTTCTGCCCTAAAGCTAGTTTAAATCATATTTATCAGATTAAGTTCAGTTTGTTCATGTTAATGATGACTCATCTATGCATACTAATGTTAGTTACAAAGTTCCACAAGGTTCTGTGCTCGGACCAATTCTGTTTACTTTATATATGCTTCCCTTAGGTAACATCATTAGAAATCACTCTGTAAACTTCCACTGTTATGCAGATGATACACAATTATATCTATCGCTACAGCCAGAAGAAACAGATCAGTTAACTTCAAGCATGTCTTGAAGACATAAAAACCTGGATGAGCTCCAATTTCATTATGTTAAATTCAGACAAAGCTGAAGTTATTGTTCTTGGCCCCAAATAGCCCAGAAACTCTCTATCTGAGGATATAGTTTCTCTGGATGGCATTGCTCTGCCTCTTAGCTTCTCTGCACTGGCTCCCTGTAAAATCCAGAATTGAATTTAAAATCCTATTCCTAACTTACAAAGCTCTAAATGGTCAGGCTCCGTCATGTTGTAGAGAGCTCTTAGTGCCCATCTATCCCACCAGAACACTGCGCTCTGAGAATGCAGGGTTACCTGTGGTTCCTAAAGTCTCCAAAAGTAGAAACGAGAGCCTTGAGTTATCAGGCTCCTCTTCTGTGGAACCATCTTCCTGTTTCGGTTCGGGAGGCAGACACCGTCTCTACATTTACGACTTAACTCAAGACTTTCCTCTTTGATAAAGCTTATAGTTAGGGCTGGCTCAGGCTCTCCTCGGACCGGCTCCTACTTAGGCTGATATATGTTCCTAGTCTGCCAAGGGATCTCCCGTGATACACCGAGCCCCTTCTGTCCTTCTCTCTTTTGCTGTCAGATTGTGAAAAGTTGGTTCTTCTTCATTTTTAACATTCCTGTGAAGTCCTGTTTCTGCATGTCACTAACTCGGCCTCTTCTCTGGAGCCTTTGTGCTCCACTGTCTCAAAGGTTCCCTCGCATATAGGCTGCGCCTGGATCGTGGGTTTTGGTTGTGCAGCTGCTGTGGTCCTGCCTGATGTCTGCTACTGCTGCTGTTATTATTAGTCATACTTCTAATATTATTATACACATATAATTATTATTGTCACATACATATACTATGTATTACAGCTAAGCCTAAACTTAAAACCACTGAAGGGCTGCATAGACAGACTACAGACTAATTGACACGCTTGCCTTCTTCTTTGATGCATCATTTATGTTGTAGTCTTAAAGAATCATTCATGAATCTGTGTCCATATACCTTTCAAATACACAAACTTTCACCAATTCAAAGAGCAACATACACCACACTTAACGTGGCCAGGCGCTGCAGTTCAAAAAACGATGTGTGTCTCTCAATGAGTGAATGGTTCCCACCTACATTAGCAGACACCATGACAATACAGTGACCCCTACAGGACAAATTGGCAACCTACACACATTTTACACCATAGATGGCTCCTATACTATTATATATTAATATATACTACCAAAATACTTTTATTAATATTATCATGTCATTACTAAAATTAATGTTATTGTAGCTATAGTCATTACTGTTTGCCTACATCTCTCTGTCTCTCTCAATGTATCATTTTGTCATATGGATGACTGTACAGGAGGGAGGGAGGAGGGATCTCTCCTCAGTTTTCTCTTCCTGAAGTTTCCACCGTTTTTTTTTTTTTTTTGGTCCTGTAAAGGTTCTTCTTTGGGATAGTTTTTCTATATCCGCTGTGAGTGTCTAAGGACAGAGGGATGCCTTATGCTGTAAAGCCCTCTAAGGCAAATTGTGATTTATAATACGGGCTTTATTAATGAAATTAAATTGAATTGAAATATCTGTTTACAGTCAGCTCCATCTGTTGTCATGGAGAGACTGTAGCCTACACACACCACCTTAACAACAGTTTGCCAAGCTGGTATAGAAATGCAGGCACAAAGGAAGAAGTAGACCTACTTTTAAACACTGTGAAAGACTTGGATCTCAACAATTAACCTACCTTTTCAAGACGGTGGTTGAATTGATGGAAGAGAGAGGCTGAGCTCGCACGGTCCAACAAATCCACCAACGGTAGGAGACTTTAAAAAAAATCCTATTTTGATGCAAAGAGGCAAAATGATAAGTGGCTCGACTTTTCCATATTTTGACATGAAAAACAACATGTTAGGGCGTGTTAATTGGGGTATGCACAGCTACATGTAAACAGGAGTATTATAGTGGAATTGTCATTTTTATTATCCATATAAACAGCCTAGTAGGAATGTTGTCTTTTTCAGAATAAGGACAACAACTGTAACAGTTTGTGCATGTAAACATAGTCACTGTCTGTTCAGCAGCAGTTGCTTTCGAGCTCTGCCATTAGTGGTTGTTATCGACAACAGGATGTTCGTCTAAATCTCTGGGGTAATCAGTCACCGCTAAGCATCGCAGCTATTAACAGGCCACAACATGTACTACTGAAGCCGTTGGTTACTGACGGCTAAAGGATGCAGGCTTTACCATAACTTGTCTCACTAGACCTTTTCCTAAACATTTCAGCACATCATGTTATTTGAGTCTTTGAACAGTCCTGCACACTGCTGTTTCAGCCTCACAGTTCATTATTTACACTAACGTTTCCGTGTTCAACACCATTATTTCCAACACTGAACTTAAATAGAAACTACTTCGCCCACTTCACAGGTGTGCACAGGTGTGGAGGAATTAATTGGCCGTTGGTGTATTTCTCAGAAATAAACAACAGCCTGTGCACCATGTGTGACATAGGCTAACCTACAAACGAAAGAACAAGGGAGCAAGAAAAACACAAGATTATTTACAAAAAAATGTCGATCTTATGAACGAACACATCGGCCTTGAAGCTATCATAAATCATTCAAATGTTCAGCAATGAATATCATAAACTGTTTTTTGAGATCCCCAAATCCATTATGACATGCTATATATCGCATCATTTACCAAAACTGCTACTGCTGGAGCAATACATTTAAATGACTTCAAACATGATATCTCATCATTTAGATTTCAGGGCATTGAAAAAGTCTCTGCCAGAGAGAGGTGGTAACATTAAAGACATACTTAGCAGATAAAATAAATAAAATAAATATCAAATAAAATGATACCATGGCATGTCTTCTCAAAAGAAGACACAACTACTAATGGGCTATTTCTTTCAAATATAATCATACAGAATCTTATCCAACTTCTTGGTAACGTGTTGGGACATTGAGAGACAATGACACAGACTGATGGAGAGATTCCGCCTGTTTTTGATACCAGAACCCTGCCAAATACAGAAATATCTCCCATCAACCATGACTTTAATTTCAATTTTGTCTGCTAAAAACTGTGTCAAAATTGAAATCGTATTGCGGGAGGGCCTGGAATAACATTGTCCCCCCATCAGGTGTGATAAGTAGTTGGTTCAACAATTGAAACTCTGGTGTCCACGCGTTAGTGAATGCACCTGCCTTTTCCGATTATCAGTGAACGCAGCATCAAACAATGCGTCACTGACAGGTACTGCACCGTTAGTTTGCCTACACAACAACTGGAGGAAGAGAAACCCTTGGAGAATAGTGTAAACTGGTGAGTTGGTTTTTTATTTATTTTTGTTTAAATGTGTGTATTAAGTGAACTGTTCGTTTTTAGGGCGTTGGTGTATGGATGTGGTATTACTCAGCTTACTTTCGCTTTCATCAGATTAGCTAAAGTAACGGACTGTTGTAGAGTTAGCTTTTTAATCACTGCAGTGCTGTGTCAGTTTTCAGAGGATAAAGAGAAAGTCCAAGTTCGACATCTTCATATCTATTTCTGTACGGGAAAAATTAAAGCAGGAGAGACGCAGGAAGCAGGAGGGTTTGTGAAAAGACACAACAACAGGTGAATAAAGCTTTTCTGAAAAGACAATATCCTAACAAATAGCCAAAAGCAGAAAAGACATGTAGGCTAAATAGGTTACTATAAAGATGTGTGTTTTCCGTGAGTATGTGTATTATCACCTTTTATGTTTTTCATTTTGTACAAATACAAAAATGCTGTTACCACAAAGACACAGCTGAATAAAGCTGTGTTGAAATTACTTGTAGACTTAAGTGTTGTGTCTCTAAACTTTAAAAGCTCATTTCCAGTCAGTAGTGTGTCGTCTGAAATGAATATTAAGTTGTAAAAATGTTTTAGGGGAAAGGATGAATTGTCTCTGATAAACTTTTCAGCTTCTGTTATAACAGAATTTTTCAAATTCAGTCATCGGTTTTGATTTTCAAGATTTTCAATGGCCCCTCCTATGACAAACCTCTGCGGGGCCACTGCGTTGGGAAAGGGTTGGGGCACACCCTGGGCATGTTGCCAGATTATCACAGGGCTGACACATAGAGGCAGACAACCATTCACGCTCACAGTCACACCCAGTTTTCGATTGTGGGAGGAAGCTGGAGTGCCCGCAGAAAACCCACGCTGACAAGGGGACATGCAAGCTCCACACAAAGGGGCTCCACCACCCCAGGTTTGAACCAGGAACCCTCTTGCTGTGAGGTTGCAATGCTAACCACTGCACCACCGTGCCATCTAGCAATTAAACATTTATTCAAATTCATCTTTAAACCCAAAATATTATACAAGCCACTGCTTTTGGAACCTGAATTAAACTTTTCAGAAAAATTGTGGTATCATCTGCTAACAGACAAAGTTGGGGGGGTCTATATACATATATTCAACATCTTACAAGCAGTTACAGCTTCGATAGCTTTTTGTTTTTGAGTGTGTTGAATTAAAAGAATGTAGTGCTTGAATTTATTGTGAAAAGCATGGTTTTCAACCTGTGAATTTACATGTATAATGATAAGATTTTATCACGCATGTTTGTTGAGGCTTTTCTTATGTGTGTTACTTTCCAGGAGACCAAACAACACATTCCTCCATAACAAGACAAAACCTTCATTCATATTTTTAGAGATGAAATCACATGTTAAGCCAGAAGTGCTTCACAGAGGGGTCATACCAAAATAAATGCACAACAGTTTTGGTACATTCAAAGCAGAAACTACAATTCACATCAGTGTCTTGCTTAAATCTTTTTTAACACAGTCATTAGCAGGATAGAGTTTATGAATTAGTTTAAAACGAATTTCTTTAACTGTACTGGTGATTAGGTATCGGTTGTGTAAAAGCCAGACTGTCTTCCAGTCCATCTCATCTGCAAATCAGAATTAGAAATACTTCATTGATCTCTGAGGGGAAATTGTGATTTGTTACGGTTGCTCAGATGTAAAGAATAGAGAATTATAAGAAGTAAGAATAAGAGTATGAAATAAAAGTGTGTAAATATAAAGCAATGAAACAGAAATGAAATGTGCATTAAAATAAAAATAAATTGTGCATTATGCTACTGTGTTTAACACTAGTGCTTAAGATATAGAAATTAAAATATCAAAAATAATCGTCACTGTGCTGAGGCTGTAAGTGTGAAAATGTAACTACAATATACATCATTAGAATAAAACAACAATATACACTGCCTGGCCAAAAAAAAAGTCACCACCAAAAAAAAGGTCATACACTCTAATATTTCATTGGACCGCTGTCTTTAGCTTTGATTACGGCACGCATTCGCTGTGGCATTGTTTCGATAAGCTTCTGCAATGTCACAAGATTTATTTCCATCCAGTGTTGCATTAATTTTTCACCAAGATCTTGCATTGATGATGGTAGAGTCTGACCGCTGCGCAAAGCCTTCTCCAGCACATCCCAAAGATTCTCAATGGGGTTAAGGTCTGGACTCTGTGGAGGCCAATCCATGTGTGAAAATGATGTCTCATGCTCCCTGAACCAGTCTTTCACAATTTGAGCCCGATGAATCCTGGCATTGTCATCTTGGAATATGCCCGTGCCATCAGGGAAGAAAAAATCCATTGATGGAATAACCTGGTCATTCAGTATATTCAGGTAGTCAGCTGACCTCATTCTTTGAGCACATACTGTTGCTGAACCTAGACCTGACCAACTGCAGCAACCCCAGATCATAACACTGCCCCCACAGGCTTGTACAGTAGGCACTAGGCATGATGGGTGCATCACTTCATCTGCCTCTCTTCTTACCCTGATGCGCCCATCACTCTGGAACAGGGTAAATCTGGACTCATCAGACCACATGACCTTCTTCCATTGCTCCAGAGTCCAATCTTTATGCTCCCTAGCAAATTGAAGCCTTTTTTTCCGGTTAGCCTCACTGATTAGTGGTTTTCTTAAGGCTACACAGCTGTTCAGTCCCAATCCCTTGAGTTCCCTTCGCATTGTGCGTGTGGAAATGCTCTTACTTTCACTATTAAACATAGCCCTGAGTTCTACTGTTGTTTTTCTTCGATTTGATCTCACCAAACGTTTAAGTGATCGCCGATCACGATCATTGAGGATTTTTTTCCGGCCACATTTCTTCCTCGAAGACGATGGGTCCCCACTATCCTTCCAGTTTTTAATAATGCGTTGGACAGTTCTTAACCCAATTTTAGTAGTTTCTGCAATCTCCTTAGATGTTTTCTCTGCTTGATGCATGCCAATGATTTGACCCTTCTCAAACAGACTAACATCTTTTCCACGACCACGGGATGTGTCTTTCGACATGGTTGTTTAGGAAATGAGAAGCAACTCATTGCACCAGTTGGGGTTAAATAACTTGTTGCCAGCTGAAAGATAATCGCCCATGCAGTAATTATCCAATAGGAGGCTCATACCTATTTGCTTAGTTAAATCCAGGTGGCGACTTTTTTTTTGGCCAGGCATTGTAATTAAACATAAGACATATGTACAGTTATGTGCATCGTACGTCAAATTAATCTAAAAAAATATTGCACAGTTGGAATGGAATAACTTCATTCCAGTATGAGATCACATACGGAAAAGTAATAGTATCCCTTTGAAACAGAGGTCTTGTTAATCTTTTGTTATTACTAGAATTACTGGAAAAACTAGTTCTGACCACTAATATGTCTGATGGAGGTAACAAGGATAAGTGTGGGAAATTTGGTTGAGATTTAAACTGCACACAGACTACAGAGAGTACTGTACCAAAGACTTTTTCATTACCCCCTGGTGATACAGGTATATTATATTCTGACAAAAACATCATAAGAATAAAGAAGATCGTCCTTATTCAGTAACTGAGCAACATGCACAACATTATTGTGAAACCAGTATAGTTTAAAGAGGGATTTGTGTTTATATAAAATAGGCTTTTTATCATGTGTGGATGAGGCATGGACAGATGACGACTTGAAGATATCATTTTCTGGCTTTTATTCAATCCCGCAGAAGACAATATGGCACATTAATTGCCTTCTGGACACCTATTACTGCACCTCTGCTCGTAAACATCCAGAATAACAGCATTTTACACCAGAAATCAGATGTTAAATGGTGTCTAATCTGATAATAAAACTGATCTTGAATGTGTTCAGTTTTTTATATAATGAGTTTTTTTCTTCCAAATAAAGTTTTAGAGCAATTGGTCAGTTTCTTAACTATTTTTTTAAATCAACATCTAAGGAGATAGCATATCTGCTATAGAGAGTAGCCTTCTGCCCTTTAAGGATAGGTCCCTTTGAAGACACTGATTAAGTTTACTCCTGGTTCTGTCATTTTTCAATGCCACTTAATCCCAGCAATGCAAAACAACACTGTGAAGGACAGACAGGAGGAGCTACGGAAACCCAGGAGGTATAACAGAGGCGATGTGCAGCAAGATAATTTCCACAGGAACCATTAGAAATAACAGTAAATAAAAATAACTGAGAGATAACATTCACAAATACTCAGCAGAAACTTTAAATGATAAATAAAATTGGCAAATACAGTTTCCATATATAAAAATCATGAGGTGAAAAGTTGTGTTTGTAGATAAGAGTCTGTGACAAGAAGGCCTGGTGATGAAAAGCAGGCATTTTTAACAGGGATTCTATCAATAATGTAGTCATAAATCAAGAAAGAAATTTAAACCATCAAGCTTTGATAGTACAGTATATGGAGAGTATAATGTCCCAAATGGAGGTAGGATTTTTGTTTCAGCCAATTTATCTTAAATGTATTATTTAGAGTATGAGAATCCAGGAATTTTTCCCACCACTTTTATCAGCATTAATGAGAACAGATTTCTTTAAGTGACAATACTTTTTCATATGAAATTGAAGAGCATTTTGTAAATGTCATTAAGAACTTCGTTATCCAGATACAACAGACAAAGCTACACGTCAATCGGGAGATTCCCTCTGCCTGAGTAACCAATACTCTCCATATTAACCCTTTGAAACCTGAGCAAGCTGGTTTTATTTGTTTCAAAAACATGGGAAGTAGGCTACAAAAGAGGAAATGACCCCCAAAGTTTGCAAGAAATTAATAAAAGAGAAAATTCAAAACAAGAAAATTAGTAAAGAAAAGAATGACAGAAAGAAAGAAAGAAAGAAAGTTAAAAACAAACAAGGAAATGACCTAAAAAAATGCTTAAAATTCTAATTATTATAATTATTGTTCTCGGCTCCAAGCACCTCAGAAACTGAGGATATAGTTTCTCTGGATGGCATTGCTCTGGCCTCTAGCACTACCGTAAGAAACCTCGGAGTAACATTTGACCAAGATTTGTCTTTTAATTCTCATTTAGAACAATCCTCACAGACTGTGTTTTTTCATCTGTGTAATATTGCGAAAATTAGGCCTATCTTGACCCGAAAAGATGCAGAAAAATTGGTCCACGCTTTTGTTACCTCTAGGCTAGATTACTGTAACTCCCTATGATCAGTAATAAGTCTTTAAAAACTCTCCAGCTAATTCAGAATGCAGCGGCACATGGACTAACAGGAACTAAGAGGCGAGATCACATTTCTCCTGCGGTCCGGGAGGCAGACACTGTCTCCACATTTAATACTAGACTTAAGACTTTCCTCTTTGATAAAGCTTATAGTTAGGGCTGGCTCAGGCTTGCCTTGTACCAGCCCCTAGTTAGACTGACTTAGGTCTAGTCTGCCGGGGGACCTCCTATCATGCACCGAGCACCTTCTCTCTCTCTCCTTTGCTAACATTCACGATCTGTTACTGCATGTCACTAAATTGGCTTCTTCTCCGGAGCCTTTGTGCTCCACTGTCTGGCAGGTTAACTCGTATCACAGCGGTGCCTGGATTGTGTGGCGTGGTTGTGCTGCTGCCGTGGTCCTGCCTGATGCCTCCTGCTGCTGCTGTTATCATTAGTCATACTTCTACTGTTATTATACACACATGATTATTGTCACATACATATACTATCATATATTAATATATACCTACAACATATTGTACCACAATTACCTGTCCTGTTTCTCTCTCTGTGTCTCTTTCTGTATCATTTTGTCATATGGATTACTGTTAATTTATTATGTTGATCAGTTCTGTACATTATCTGCTGCATGTCTGTCCTACTATTTTTTCCCCATTAAAGTTTTTTTTTGGGGGAGTTTTTCCTTATCTTCTGCGAGGTTCCTATATGGACAGAGGGATGTCGTATGCTGTAAAGCCCTCTGAGGCAAAGTGTCATTTGTGATATTGGGTTTTATAAATAAAATTGATTGATTGATAATTCTGTAGAATAATTTCAATAAGTTTATGTAATAAGTTATAAACATAGTTTTTTTCCGTAGCTTCTTTCTTTTTTCCCCTATTTTTTAAAAATCTTTTTTGTTTTGTTTTTTAATTTGTGGGACATTACTTTCCAAGTTGTTAATTGCCTTTTTCCCCCCCTAGTTAAAAAAAATAAAATAAAAAAAATTCTTAATCTATTATTTTATTGGAATTTGTTGGACATTTCTTACCATGTTGCTCATTGCCTTTTACCCTATTTAAAATAATTCTAAATTCCAATTTTTTTTTTTTTTGAATTTGTGGGACCCTTTTTTTCTTTACCAAGTTGCTCATTGCCTTTTCCCCCCATGTTTCTGAAAGAAATCCCACCAATTTGCTCAGGGTTCAAAGGCTCTCATACTTGCGAAAGGCACCTGAATGCAGCACAAGAAAAGTGATGTCACTCCAGGTTTAAAAGGGTTAATGAGAGACGCATAATCAACGCTCCAGTTGGTGGGTGACGTAATGTAAACAGACATATTAGCTAAACAATCATTAACAATGAATTGATCTGCAAGTACCACTAAGCAAATCAGAGGTCAAAATTATCATTAAAGACTGCATGTACAAAACCTGGCAGGAATATTGAGACTTCAGTGACACAGGAAGACATTTTACAGGATTCAAAAACATGCAGGTGCTGGTACATTACAGAGTGGGAGCCCAACCTGTCTGAGGATAGGACACACTGGATTAAATGACACTCTCCATAGAATAGGCAAGTATCCTACTGGGCTGTGTACACACTGTAACACCCTGGAAAGAGTCAAACATGTCCTAATAAAATCTACTTGGAAAGAGATCAAGGGATAAACATAAGCTTCTATTTAATTGTTTAAGAGCAACAGGATTAACAGAGAGAATTTAGTCATTTTTTGTTTGTTTTGTTTCCTGCCAATCTACTACCCCACACTCGGGTCCGGTAGGTGGCGGTAATGCGCCTCAAAGGTAGTTTGCCAACCGTCATTAACTCAAAAAAGAGAAGAGTGACATAACGCAAACTTGCCTGTTTTCAGGTTTTCCGCAGGAAACAAAATGGCGGCCGGCTGGTGACAAGCAGTCTCGAATGACAAATGGTAAGCTAAAATATGCCGCTGAAAACATTTTAGGAGAGGATTAGACAACGCAGTAACAATGTCTTGGTTCGTATTTTATCAGAATCTCTTAGTTTTATCGTTTTAACTCTTTCTCCAGCCTGTTTTACAATACAGTAAATGGTATGGTGCCCGCTTCTTCACAGATTCTCATATTTCAGCCAAACAGTGCGCTAAAATTTGTTTATGAAGACATTTTAAGCGATAAATAGGCGATACAGTTACAGAATCTTGGTTATCTTTTATATTTCTAGATTTCTTGTGTATTTTACGGTGACCCTGTTGAAGGCCACAAGCTTAAATGTGGTGTTTTGCATACTGGGAGTGTTGCTGGAGTTTTCTGTCTTCAAACTTTTTCTCTTCTCTACTCCTGCCCCTCTGAATAATAATGATAAATAATGAACTTTATTTCTATAGCACTTCTCTCAACTATAGTTACAAAAAACATAATATTTATACTTATACATATATGTCTATATATACACATAAAGGCTTCACATTCACACACACATACAAAATCTTTCAATGTTATAAAAATGCCATTCTGTACAAGTGGGTTTTTAACAGCTTTTTAAACTGAGGAACTGACTCAGCTGATTTGATGTTAAGGGGGACTTTGTTCCATAACTTTGGGGCTTAAATAGTAAAAGCATGCTTGCCCTTTGTTTTAGGTCTGGACCACGGCACTTTTAACAACATTTGGTTCTCTGATCTTAGGAATCCTGGAGCAGGAGAGGGGGTCAGGAGTTCTGAAATGTAAGTAGGTAAAGCTGTGCTGGATATTACAACTCTGCATCTTTAATGAAAATGATAAGAGACATTTGTGCAACTTGTTGTAAGGGTAATTTTGCAAAGTGTGCTGTCAGGATGGAAAGACTGCAGGGTCTTAATGTAACGTTTTCAAATATTGAACTCTTCCTGTTAAACTGTAAAAGAGTCAGACATCCTTCTGGCTTTGGCTGATGATTAAACAGTCATAATGGTTTCATGACCTGAAAGTCTAATGTCTTGTCATTCGTATCAAGAGGATTTCACAGATTTTAGCAAGTGATATTCTTTAGTTTAACAAAGTGTCAGTTGCCCCTTTGTTTTTTTTTTTGTTTGTTTGTTTTTATCTTTTAATCCTCCAGCAGAAGAAGTCACCACAGTGCTACACTGCAACAGAAGATGAAGACTACTACGAAGGCCAGAGCTTGTACGAGAAGAGAGTACGTTGCCATTTTCCTCTTTCTGGTTGTGGGTGTCCTAATCTTTGTGCAACGCAACATTGAAGTTCTGAAGGTGAGCACTTGGTTTTAGTGGGACCGTTTGAAGGCTGGACCCTGTTTGTAATGTTAAATATTGTTTTTTTTTTATATATATACAGTACAGGCCAAAAGTTTGGACACACCTTCTCATTCAATGCGTTTTCTTTATTTTCATGACTATTTACATTGTAGATTCTCACTGAAGGCATCAAAACTATGAATGAACACATGTGGAGTTATGTACTTAACAAAAAAAGGTGAAATAACTGAAAACATGTTTTATATTCTAGTTTCTTCAAAATAGCCACCCTTTGCTCTGATTACTGCTTTGCACACTCTTGGCATTCTCTCCATGAGCTTCAAGAGGTAGTCACCTGAAATGGTTTTCCAACAGTCTTGAAGGAGTTCCCAGAGGTGTTTAGCACTTGTTGGCCCCTTTGCCTTCACTCTGCGGTCCAGCTCACCCCAAACCATCTCGATTGGGTTCAGGTCCGGTGACTGTGGAGGCCAGGTCATCTGCCGCAGCACTCCATCACTCTCCTTCTTGGTCAAATAGCCCTTACACAGCCTGGAGGTGTGTTTGGGGTCATTGTCCTGTTGAAAAATAAATGATCGTCCAACTAAACGCAAACCGGATGGGATGGCATGTCGCTGCAGGATGCTGTGGTAGCCATGCTGGTTCAGTGTGCCTTCAATTTTGAATAAATCCCCAACAGTGTCACCAGCAAAACACCCCCACACCATCACACCTCCTCCTCCATGCTTCACAGTGGGAACCAGGCATGTGGAATCCATCCGTTCACCTTTTCTGCGTCTCACAAAGACACGGCGGTTGGAACCAAAGATCTCAAATTTGGACTCATCAGACCAAAGCACAGATTTCCACTGGTCTAATGTCCATTCCTTGTGTTTCTTGGCCCAAACAAATCTCTTCTGCTTGTTGCCTCTCCTTAGCAGTGGTTTCCTAGCAGCTATTTGACCATGAAGGCCTGATTGGCGCAGTCTCCTCTTAACAGTTGTTCTAGAGATGGGTCTGCTGCTAGAACTCTGTGTGGCATTCATCTGGTCTCTGATCTGAGCTGCTGTTAACTTGCGATTTCTGAGGCTGGTGACTCGGATGAACTTATCCTCAGAAGCAGAGGTGACTCTTGGTCTTCCTTTCCTGGGTCGGTCCTCATGTGTGCCAGTTTCGTTGTAGCGCTTGATGGTTTTTGCGACTCCACTTGGGGACACATTTAAAGTTTTTGCAATTTTCCGGACTGACTGACCTTCATTTCTTAAAGTAATGATGGCCACTCGTTTTTCTTTAGTTAGCTGATTGGTTCTTGCCATAATATGAATTTTAACAGTTGTCCAATAGGGCTGTCGGCTGTGTATTAACCTGACTTCTGCACAACACAACTGATGGTCCCAACCCCATTGATAAAGCAAGAAATTCCACTAATTAACCCTGATAAGGCACACCTGTGAAGTGGAAACCATTTCAGGTGACTACCTCTTGAAGCTCATGGAGAGAATGCCAAGAGTGTGCAAAGCAGTAATCAGAGCAAAGGGTGGCTATTTTGAAGAAACTAGAATATAAAACATGTTTTCAGTTATTTCACCTTTTTTTGTTAAGTACATAACTCCACATGTGTTCATTCATAGTTTTGATGCCTTCAGTGAGAATCTACAATGTAAATAGTCATGAAAATAAAGAAAACGCATTGAATGAGAAGGTGTGTCCAAACTTTTGGCCTGTACTGTATATATGTGTGTTTCAATGTGGCTCAACAACAGTAACGTTCTTCACTGCAAGTAAGTGCAGTTAAATGGTATTTCCCATCTCAGTCCTGCACCTTGACGTGCTGACAGCTGCATTTATTCTTATTAAAGATGTACAGCTTTACAAATGGATCACAAATATATAGTTTTAAAAAAAGCGAGATGCCCCAAAACAGCTGGCCACTGAAGGGATGATGAGATTTAATGGCTTGTATTTGGATTCTCTCATCACTGGAATTTGTGAAAAGACTAGGAGTCATTTTGTACCTTAACGCTGAAAACATGCAAAGCAGCAGCAAAGTGTGGCTCACCACAATAATTACATTTTTCTGCAATCAGTGGGCAAGTGCATATGTTTCAGGAGGGTAGAAATTCTTTGTAACATAGGTGAACTTGTCACAGGAGTGTGTGTACTGATGGGCTGCAATTCGCTGCTTTAAGTTTAACCATCCCCAACTTTTAATTTGGCTGCACTTCACAGCCGAATCCAATGCTGTTATTCCAAACATGACTACTCTGAATTTGATGCATGTCATGTAAACAGGATATTGCGTTTAGATATTCTGAATTAAGCCTTTTTCCAAATTGAGCATTTTCCAATTTAAACATGTGGGATATGCCGGTGTTATTTTTTTCATAGCATTCTTTGGAAATGCACACAGTGCATTTGGAATATGTGTCTCAATTTGGGGTTTTTAACCGCAGTTAGCGACACATAGCCTCTCACCTGTGTATGGTCAGCTCTCTATCGTACACAAACCAACTCCTCAACAGTTTGCAAGGCTGGTGTAGAAATGCATGCCCAACAGAAAAGCCCACATTTCTGATTGTAAGAAGAAACACATTTACTTTTAAACATTACGAAAGACTTGGATATCAACAGGCTTTTGGACATGTTGCATCATCATCATCATCACATTCAAGAAGGTGGGTGAAGGAAGGAATGGAGGGAGGTAGGATGTGTTCGCATGGTTGAACAAGTCCATCAGCAGTAGGAAGCTGAAAAATACTATTTTGATGCAAAGACGCAAAATGTGAAGTGGCTTCAGCTGTTCTACTTATCCATATTTTGACAAGATAAATGACATGTTAGGGCCCATTAATCGGAAATATTAGTGGAATATTAATTTTTCATTTGCCATGCAAACAGCTTAGTAGGATATTGTCTTTTTGGGAATAAGGGCAAAAACTAGAATATGTTGAACATGTAAATGTACTCTGTTGTCGCCCTCCTTCTCTCGACCCTCTGCCAGTTTCACCACACAGTGAACCCCACCATCATCATCCCAAGAGTTTTCACTGAGCCCGACATGCATTACAACTTTTGCACCTTCAGGCCACTGTTCCCCGAGGACGCTTTGGAGAACCGCTTTCTACTAGACACCATTGCCTGGCCTGACACTCCACTTTTGTCAGCTCCCTTTTCTGTGGAGAAAACCAGTGATCCAGCTCACAGTAACTTCACCATCGTCCCACAGAGGGGAAGAGGAGAGTGGCATGTGGGGGATCAGCTGGAGGTTACCATCAAAATGGCAGACTTCCAGGGCCGTCCCAGGAAGTCTGGGGGGGACTTCCTACTCGCCCGGCTGCACAATCAGAAGCTTGGGGCAGGTGTGGTTGGGCAGGTTGTCGATCATCTCAATGGGAGCTACACTGCTGGGTTCTCTTTACTCTGGGAAGGAGACGCACAGGTTCAGGTAAAAATTATCATGTTAAATGTGGTTGTACTGTATTTAATCTGTGATTGTTCACTTAGGCCGTACCCTTTAGTCACCGTTTATATGCCTGTTAACTTCACTTCTCGCACAGCACATATAAAGTTTGTATTGATAATATGTAATGTAATGTAAAGCTGTAGGAGTAGACAGACATTTACTTAAATGGAAATCTTTGAGATTATTACTTCTGTATTTGTCTCTACTGATATGACTGAACTTGATCGGGCCTTGTAAAAACTGTAGTTCTCTGTCCAATTAGGTGATAATGGTTCACCCCAGTGAGGCTATCGCAGTGCTGAACAGGCTGAACAGAGAACGACCTGACAGCCTTTACTTCAGGAGCCTCTTCCGCTCAGGCTCACTCTTAGAAACTGCCATGTGTAACGTCTGTCTGCGTCCAATCAAGCCACTGTGCAACTACACTGACCTGCGCACAGGCGAGCCTTGGTTCTGTTATAAACCAAAGAGCCTGAGCTGTGATGCCAGGATCAACCACGCCATGGGAGAAAACAAACTAAATATCAACACCAATGAAACTAAGCTCTTTAAAAGGTGAGAGGGGCGGAGAGACAGGACTGGCATTTTGTGTGGCCTCTAGTAAATACATACATCCAGTGTTACTTTTGTTTCTAATTGATGGAAGGTTTAAGATTGAATCTAGAGGTTTTTAATAATAAAACAAACCCGACTCACTAGTCTGAAATATAGTTTACATTCATGAAGAACACCGGGCAGTATTTGATGTGATTCATGTATGTTTGCTTGTAAATTCATTGCAATTTAATTTAATTTTGGATGCGGTCTTTTCAGAAACCTTAAAGGTCCAGTGTACGATCACCTGAAAATAAGAACTGTGTTTTCCTTAGAATGAGCTGTTTATATCTACATAAGGAGCAGGGGCCTGTATCATGAAGCAGGATTAATGTCTTAGCGAGGTAACTTCAGGGTTAACCCTGGGTTTTCGGTCTCATGAAGCTGGTTCATTTCTTATCGGGGTAGATCACCATGGTAACGTACTCTGAACGGCTATCCTGCTCGGAGCAGGGTAAGTTCAGGGTTGAATCTGATCCTATAAAAAGCACCACCCACTGGCCAATCAGCAGTTCAGAAAAAAATGACTCCGCTGACAGAAATGCAGCCCAGTCATGACGGGAAGTTTAATTAATTTGATTGATTTTGATTTGAAAGTTTATTTTGAACATTAAAAAAGAAAAGAAAAAGCAACAACAACCTGACAATGAAAAGATTGTTCAAATAGGAGTGGAAAGAAGTCGAAATTTCATCCCACCCCTTCATAAGAAAGAAACTGATCATTTGCAGACACTTAATAGCACCATTAATTAGTGCCAACATTTTTTTTTTGTTGGAGGAAATGATCCCTGTTAAAGATAATGGGCCTAATTGACAGCTTCGCTGCTGGAAATGTGGAAAGTAGCCTATCATGTCTACACTTCATGGTGTTTGAGGGATTTTCCTTTTTGTTTTTTAAAGAGGGAGACTAGGTATATTTTTGTGCAGCTGTTAATTTCTAACACAGCTCAATATCAGGATGATTTTATTCAGACTATCAATTTGGTGTTGATATGATTTAATTGTGACGTCAGCTTTAAGCTTTATTGTAGCATATATAAAGTTATGACAAAGAAGACCAATTTATCAGACGCAATGATGTTAGACGATAATTGTAATACACGCAGTTCATCTGCGCAGCATTGATTTCATGGGATTCAAGGGTGTGATCAGTGTCAGATGTACAGGTACAGGTACTGTAGCTACTTGAACCAGTGATGAGTAATTTAACATACACATAATTTTATTTGCTACCTTGATTTGTCTTGATTTTTCCCTCTCTCCTCCTCTATTTCTTCTTTCCTGACCCGTTTTTTTTTTTTCCTTCTCTATTATGTGATTTCATTGATGTTTTGACAGGGGAATTTCTTTGATAAGCTTTTAGTGGCTTCTAACCTCTCCGGCACTTTTCTTTTTTAACCTTGTAAATTTTATACTGTCTGTTTTTAACATTATGTGCAAATAAACTAGTCTAAACTAAAACTAAACATTATTCATCCCGTTATGCGTTGCCATGCAGGTTTCCTCCTCCTGCAGCTGCCATGGTATTGGCCTTTTCTGTAATGTTGCTTTTCTCCTCCTCATATTTTAGTAGAATTAATCTCTGATCCTCACGAGAAATACTTTTTTTTCCCCTCACATACGGCACTCTGTGAGGACGCTCAGTGACGCTCAGTGATGCTGCGCTTCTCTCATGATTGTGATTGGTCCGCTGCGTGTGCGTTCACGGCTCTTGATAAAGCAACCCTGGGTTGAGTTACTGAGTTGATATCCAGCGTCGTGATACCGATTATCCTGATTGCCATTGTTAGGGTTAGTCAACCCAGGATAGGTCTGGGTAACACAGGAAAGGTTGATCTCGCTTTGTGATACAGGCCCCAGGTCCTCATCCACTGAGTGCATCATGTTGTACTGCCATGTTTCTACAGTAGCTCAGAACAGACAAACCAAACACTGGCTCCAGATAGGGCCCTTTGCGTTTTCGTTTTAGAGGAAAGGTTATGTATAATGTTTAACTTAGAAGCAGTTATTTCCCATTTTTTTTCTGCTTGACTTTTCTAGTTTTAACTTTATAAAATGATTTTAGGGTTTTGTCCTCTGTACTTGTATTTATGCAGTTCATGTTGTAGTGTGTCTAAGACATATTTAATTAGACTGTGTGTGCTTTTCTGCAGTGGTGTCAACCTGAAAGTCTACATTCGTGCTTCAGGACCTACTGGTATCACCGTCTTGCCAAAAAAAGAAGGTAAAGCATGATTTTTACTACTGCCACCACTGCCTGTAACAATAATGATAATAATGATAACGATAATAAAAATAATGATAATAATTCAAAACTTAGTGTAATACTGACAGTGAAACAGGCGGGAAAAAATGTGGAAAAAACACGATACCTTATGTTACGCTGCTATGCTAAACCTGGCTTGTGAAACCTGAACTAAGGCTAGCAAGCCTGTAACTTAGTCCCTCTCCCTGCGTGTTGCATTAGATGTGAGAAATGTACCTGGACTTATCTGGGTGAGTGCAACCTCACTGCCAGGCCGCTGCTTTTGCTCCTCGGAACCAGCTCACTCCAGTCGGGCGAATCCACTGGACATTGACCCGTCGCTGTTCCGTCAAACCAGTCGGCCAGCTCACACTTCTTTCGTGTTTGTTCAGAGTAAATGAGTATTTACATGAATAATTTGTGATGGCGTGTCAAATGCTTTCTCAGTCTCTTATTGTCTTTAGAGTTGTCTTGTATGCGGCGCCTTCCTTGTGGCGTGCCCGTTCAGCTCAAAGGCCTCTCTAGCTCTCCCTCCAGGTGTGGCTCATGAGTCAATACCACCAACCCCCAAGTGTGACGTCAGTGCTGACCCTGCCTAAACCCCACCCACATCTACAAGACATTAATTTAACTACCAATAAAGCTATCATAACACTTCTCTTGGTAGTGTTCTCCAGTAGAGAGTTGTATGTAGGCCAATTTGAGAAGAGTTCATGAGAGGGGCACCTGCTGTTAAGGCTGATTTATGGTTGGCTCGATGCCCTTTCAAGCATTTTTGCTTGTGTGGTTGTGTCTGTGTCGCTCTGTGGTTACAACTCCAAAACACTGGTCGGCGATGGGATTTCTCCACCACTGTGTGGTGTGTTTTAAAGTTTAATTGATTCAAAACACACCTAAAACACACAATAACAAATTGCATCAGTATTAAACAAAAGCACAAAATTAGACTCCATTGTGACTCACATGGTTCACTGACAAAACATTTGTCTCATACTGGACATGTTTTCCCACATATACAACATGCAAACGTCATTAGCATAAGCCTTTTGCATTTACATTGCATAAATGTACCTAGTGGCCCAGTACACAACACTTAAAATGCTTTTTTGGGGGGGTTTATTGTCTCAACAATTTATTGTTTCTTGTCTGATAAATAAAGTAAATAAAAGCTTTGCTTCCACTGAGGGAAATGGTTTCAGTTTACAAAAATAAACAGGAGGTCTGCGTCGCTGCCATGTGTGGTTAGATTTCTGGGGAGGTGCACGTCAGTCTACAACAAAGAGTGCGGCGTAGGGTACGGCATAGAGTACACGTCTACGTAGAGCCTACACCCTAAGTACAGATTTGATTAAACGCAGCACTATAAAGCCCTGCTGTAAGAGTGCATCTAGTGTCTCAGGAGTAAGGGCAGTCCATAAGAGGTTCATAAAAATCACTTTATACCTTTTTGTTTTGGTCTTTTCATGGGATTTGTTGGCAATAAGAAAAACATAAAATAACCTCACTCTTATTCTTTAATTTCCTCCGAGGTCAACCCGAAGTGAAGAGCAGCAGTGTGACATCCGGACCCTCTGGATATTACTACCAAGGTGTGTGGCGAGCACTAAAGGGCACCACAGTTCGTGAATTTAACGTCTCTACCATTGAACAGTGTCTGAAAGGCAAGATGGTCCAAATGTATGGAGACTCCACCGTCAGACAGTGGTTTGAATACCTTAATGCAGCACTACCAGGTAACTGATCCACTGGGATTTTTGACAACAGTTTGGTTTTGTTCAGACTGCAGCTTAATCTGTTCCCTCTGTAATACTTTTAGACCTAAAGGAGTTTGACATGCACAGCCCGAAGAAAGCTGGACCTTACATCTCCTTGGACTATGCAAACAACATCTTGGTGAGGTACCGCTTCCACGGCCCGCCTATCCGTATTGTCCCTGTTTCAACCAGCGAGCTTCATTACATTGCCAACGAACTAGATGGCTTGATTGGAGGCAGCAACACTGTGGTAGTTTTTGGCATCTGGGCTCACTTCGGCACTTTCCCCATTGAGATCTACATCCGGAGGCTGCAGAGCATCCGCAGGGCGGTGGTGCGGCTGCTGGACAGGGCTCCAGACACACTGGTTGTCATCCGGATAGGGAACCCCAAAGCTTTGACACCCTCTGTGTCGCTATCCAACAGCGACTGGCACTCGTGGCAGTGTAACAGGGTGCTCCGAGCCATGTTCAAAGGACTGAATGTTCAGCTGATCGACTCCTGGGAGATGGTCCTAGCCCACCACCTGGCACACAACCTCCACCCACCACCTCCCATTATTAAGAATATGGTTAATGTTCTATTGTCCTACATATGTCCTGAAAAGCCCAGCTAAATGTGTGTTTGTGTGGGTTCAGAAGTGGCCTTTAAAGCACATACTGACTTTTTCTTGTTTTCTGTGTTTCTACTAAGTGGTGCGTTTTGTCTTCAGCAGTCCTCTCACAGGGTAGACTAAATACAATTTTTGTCATCTGTTTTTAATCAGGGGATGTTTAGTGAGCACAAAAGAAACAGAACTGGGTGGAAAGCAGCTCCAAGCCATGTCAGGGTTGAATGTTACAAATAACCACGACTGAATCCAAAAGTAACCCTTCAGACATGGTACCTACTGTAGACTCTAGGTCCACTTAGTGTTTCGACCACAAACTTAAATGTGGGTGGGGTTGTTGTCACTCACTGTATTTCCTCCTTTATCAGTCTGCACCTTGTTTGGCTGCAGTGAGAGTCTCTCTTAATTGGATATTTAAAAAAGCAGGTTTGTGCATTTATTCCTTCTCAGGCAAGCTCAGGGGTTTAGTATTGCTGTAGCCCCCAGGAACAATGCTCGCGACACCTTTTTTTGAGCATTAGAGTATATGCAGTTCACATAATCAGATCGCAATTAATAAAAAATTTTGAACGCTTGAAGATCCACTCATTACTAAACGTGTAGAGAGACAGTTGCAACTAAAGTAGTGGTCAGAGTTGTCATTGAAATTTGAGGTGTGCTGATGAATTCACGTCGTCAGCTGATGCATTAACATAAGTCAATGTTCCACCTTAAAAGTCGCAGGCAGTCGGCCCAGCGACTTATTTTTCTCTCAGACTCCAGCTGCTGTGAGAGGCAGCAAAACATCCTTTCGTTTTATAGTTCCAGTTTACTAATAAAACTCTCCACAGTATGAACAGTGGTTACATGAGTTTCAAAGCCAGCCACAACTCAGCCCTGAGCAGAGTGAGCGTCCTCTACTGACCAATCAGACTGCAGTGTTCACAGCTCCACCTTTTAGTACCAGATCTGTGTGCTAGGTACCCCAACAGAGGGGGGAAAAAAGCGTACTGAGCTGAACTGTGCCGTGCTGCTCGGTGGAAACGGGGCTATACACTGATCAGCTACAACATTGATACCACTGACGGATAAAGACAACAACATTCATAATCTCATTATAATCAGTGTTGGGCTTGTTCCTCCAAATATACAATTTATTACTCCTTATTCGTTACACTTTTGGACAGTATCATTACTTTACTTACTACTCCCTGCAAACAGTGATTTGTTACACTACTTGTTAAATTACTTTTCCGTTCCACCCCCAAAATATTACTAAGCTAATTGCGTCCTTTCTGCTGAAACTTCAGACTTGGCATGTGCACCTCTGTGTAAATGTCAGGGTGATCTACACTAAGTGCAGCTAAGGCTAGATAGCTTGCAAATATTTTTTTTACATGGGGTCTATTGTTGCCTTTGACAGGTATATACCAAAGATCAGTCTGAAACAGAGTCAGTCGTGGTGAAAGGCAACATTTCATCTGCCACATATCCAACCACAACTGCCATTAATTCTTTGTAGTCTGCAGCTGTCCATGATTCAAATCCAGTTATGGTTCTATCCTCCACGGCTGAGGAAAGCTCACCTTTGATGCGGTGTATATCCACGGGCGTCACATTGTTGTGCTGTGGTTGTTGATGTTGGTGTTTCAGCTTTAATGTTGTGGGTTTTGCAATGTTAAGAGTCTTCGGAAAGGAAATCAAAGTAATGGAAATATTTCTAGCCCCTGAATGTTAAGTGTTTCTATCATCCAAGTTTGCTGCTCGATGACATACATGCATGACGATTATGAAAATGAATCTGGGGATGTGATTGATCGTTGCATTTCAAGTCAGTCGTGGAGTGATAACAAAAATAAAGTTGCAACGAGTTATTTGTTTTGGGGGGTAACTGCGATTTTATTACTGAAATTTTATTAGTAATTTGTTACACTACTCATTACAGAGAAAAGTAATATTATTACTGTAATGAGTCCTGCTCAACACTACAATTTTCCACATTGCATTGTAACCAGCTGGAAAATCTTGGGTTCTGACACTCATGTGGATGCCAGTTAAAACAATGTAGTCACTGGTTCAAAGTTTTTTTCTGTAAAGTACAATTACTGTTGTGCAATTTTTTGCTACAAATATACCTTAACCTATGGCTGTGACTTCCAGCACTGACCAGAAACCAGCGTTTTCCAGTGCTAACGGTTAGCTAACAGTATGCTAATCCTCTGTCCTAGAGCAATTGGGAAATAAAACAGGTGGAACACACCACCTGTTACACCTGAAACGTGATAACGTGATCACACCTCTGCCATCTCTGACAGCCATCTCACATCTTTGGTTGTTTTCCTTTGATCTTGTATTATTTAACTAGCTTACAGTTAACATCTACTCCTTCTAAAGCTCATTTATGATTTCTTAGGACTCTTTCATAGACAGTAACATTCCACGATCAGTCAACATAATTTGGTATTATTTTTTTCATCTCAGGAGGTTTTCAACATACTATTTTCTAGAGATACATCAGAAATTAAGGATATAGTGACACATGATGACAAATATATGCAATATGTTTTAAAGCACTACTTTTTTCAGTGATGTAAGTTAACTAGTCATGAAAAATAAACATGTTTTTTGTTGAAAAAAGGCCTGCCACTTTTACTATTAGGTGGTCTGTGCATTCAGATTTTTCATCAATTGGAATGAACAGAAAAAAATGACAACAGAATATACTGATCAAAAACTTTTTTTTGCTTATGATTTATGAGGGCATATAGAGTAGAACTCCCCTGTTACAATATTTTTTGTGTTTGGACAGGTTAAATATCTGTCTTTAATATATGTATATTGTCAAATTACTTTTGAAAAGAGCTGCAGTTGGCGGTTAGCCACCAAGAGGAGCCATTAGGACTAGTTAATGAGACTAAACTAGCTTACTGCAACATCTGTCTCACTGGAAGCTGCATCCATCATCATTTCTTCAGTAGCAACATCAGGAATAAGGTGGTGATAATTCTGCCAGCAGCAGCTGCTATGAGAAACAGAATGTGCACCTGAAACCACCTGCTGGTGACAGATTATTCACCTCAAAGCTCTGCTGCGGTATTAGCCATTAACAGGACACCGCATAGTCTAAGTGCCACTACTTTCTTTTACCTGGACTTACCTTATTAGACCTTTTTCTGGACATGTTGACAAGTCACGGGTAAAAACACTGGTGTGGTTCATATATATAAAGGGCCCGTTCAATTTAGGTGGGCCAGCTCTGGGGTCCTGGTATGGCTCAAAATGAAAACACATCTATAGTATCAATCTGCCCACTTCTAATGTAGTCAAAGAGTCAAACTTTTAAGGCCTCAAGGAAACATACATGTAAAAACAACTACCTTAAACCTGACACAATTTACACACATGTAAATCAAGTCTAATGTGACTGTAGTTTAACAGTAGACAGAAGTTGATCACAAAATTGGATTTTTCTAAAGAAATCTCTATAAATGGTGACTTCTACCTGTGGTGACTGAAGCTGTGTGTCAACCATAATGCTTAAAGATTATTGTACCAAAGAGAATTATTGATAATGAGGTCTGAAACAGTTAATAGGGTGGAATTTAAACGGATCACTTCATCACTTCTGTTTGAATGTTGAGATTCTTGACTGATTTCTTTCCACCTAACAAAGAATTAAAATGACAAACAGTAATTACAAAAACTTTATTATCATCTCCCTCTTTACAATATAACACAACTCAGAAGAAGAAAAAAAAAAACTTGGGATCATTTGTGTTTTCTGATGGTTAAAGTTTTACATGGACATAAAGCAAAACACGGTAGAGATCAAAATGTTTTCCACTGCTAAAGCCGCGGACCTTCATTTCTAAACTGGATTCGAAGATTTTGGTCAGTGTGAGACTGCGTGAACTGTCCCCAACAACAAATATCACAGTGTGAAACCTATAAGTACATGCCATAAGGGAATTGTGATGTGTGTCCTGAGCCTGACTGACAACAGATATTCCAGGTCCTTTAAATTCTCAAATTTATTCAGTTAATTTTCTGTACATTTTCACTGGTGGAGGCCGTCCACACCAGGGCGGATTTTAAGTGTTGGGGTTCACGTGTACCGGAGCAAAACAAACTGTAGTCTTCTCAGCGAACAAACATCTGAGACACAGGAAGCGAGGCCGGGGAGCAGACAGACATGGTCGTCAGATTCAGATCTTACTTCTTGCCCGATTTCTTAATGCCACTGCCGCCTGGAGAGAAAAAATGACAGGGAACGTAAAATTAAATAAGTGTGCATAATAATACAACCAATTAGTCCCAATGATCAAAACAGTGGCTACACTTTTTGTTTTGAGTTTGTACATTTCAGGGTTCCCATGATGATGAAAAACCTAGAAAAGCCATGGAATTTCACAATCATGTTTTCCAAGCATGGAAAAGTTAATAAAATGTTTAACTTGTATGCCCTCAATGTCAGTTTCCCCGTGGTATCAAAGGTTGATATTTTTCAAGGCACTGTATCAAAGTTACAAATTAAATAATTATCTTTTACAACTAAAAGTTATGATTTGAAATTTCAAGTAAAGTAATAAAGCATTAAAATATACTTAGAGTACCAAAAGTAAAAGTACTCACTATGCAGAATGGCCTGTTTCAAAATAGAGTATATCACTGGATTATAATAATTTATGTGTTGATGTGTACATTACTATGGTGCTGCAGCTGGTAAGGGTGAAGCCAACTTAAACAAATGTATATACTGCAGGGTTGCTTAATCTATAGTAACACTTTATAATACACGTTAATTACATTTTGTATCGATAATCTTTATCTGAAAAGTGACTAATGCTGTCAGATAAATGTAGTGAAATAAAAAGTACAATAGTTAGAGTTACAGTGGAGTAGACGTACAGTACAGGCCAAAAGTTTGGACACACCTTCTCATTCAATGCGTTTTCTTTATTTTCATGACTATTTACATTGTAGATTCTCACTGAAGGCATCAAAACTATGAATGAACACATGTGGAGTTATGTACTTAACAAAAAAAGGTGAAATAACTGAAAACATGTTTTATATTCTAGTTTCTTCAAAATAGCCACCCTTTGCTCTGATTACTGCTTTGCACACTCTTGGCATTCTCTCCATGAGCTTCAAGAGGTAGTCACCTGAAATGGTTTCCACTTCACAGGTGTGCCTTATCAGGGTTAATTAGTGGAATTTCTTGCTTTATCAATGGGGTTGGGACCATCAGTTGTGTTGTGCAGAAGTCAGGTTAATACACAGCCGACAGCCCTATTGGACAACTGTTAAAATTCATATTATGGCAAGAACCAATCAGCTAACTAAAGAAAAACGAGTGGCCATCATTACTTTAAGAAATGAAGGTCAGTCAGTCCGGAAAATTGCAAAAACTTTAAATGTGTCCCCAAGTGGAGTCGCAAAAACCATCAAGCCCTACAACGAAACTGGCACACATGAGGACCGACCCAGGAAAGGAAGACCAAGAGTCACCTCTGCTTCTGAGGATAAGTTCATCCGATTCACCAGCCTCAGAAATCGCAAGTCAACAGCAGCTCAGATCAGAAACCAGATGAATGCCACACAGAGTTCTAGCAGCAGACCCATCTCTAGAACAACTGTTAAGAGGAGACTGCGCCAATCAGGCCTTCATGGTCAAATAGCTGCTAGGAAACCACTGCTAAGGAGAGACAACAAGCAGAAGAGATTTGTTTGGGCCAAGAAACACAAGGAATGGACATAAGACCAGTGGAAATCTGTGCTTTGGTCTGACGAGTCCAAATTTGAGATCTTTGGTTCCAACCGCCGTGTCTTTGTGAGACGCAGAAAAGGTGAACGGATGGATTCCACATGCCTGGTTCCCACTGTGAAGCATGGAGGAGGAGGTGTGATGGTGCGGGGGTGTTTTGCTGGTGACACTGTTGGGGATTTATTCAAAATTGAAGGCACACTGAACCAGCATGGCTACCACAGCATCCTGCAGCGACATGCCATCCCATCCGCTTTGCGTTTAGTTGGACGATCATTTATTTTTCAACAGGACAATGACCCCAAACACACCTCCAGGCTGTGTAAGGGCTATTTGACCAAGAAGGAGAGTGATGGAGTGCTGCGGCAGATGACCTGGCCTCCACAGTCACCGGACCTGAACCCAATCCAGATGGTTTGGGGTGAGCTGGACCGCAGAGTGAAGGCAAAGGGGCCAACAAGTGCTAAACACCTCTGGGAACTCCTTCAAGACTGTTGGAAAACCATTTCAGGTGACTACCTCTTGAAGCTCATGGAGAGAATGCCAAGAGTGTGCAAAGCAGTAATCAGAGCAAAGGGTGGCTATTTTGAAGAAACTAGAATATAAAACATGTTTTCAGTTATTTCACCTTTTTTTGTTAAGTACATAACTCCACATGTGTTCATTCATAGTTTTGATGCCTTCAGTGAGAATCTACAATGTAAATAGTCATGAAAATAAAGAAAACGCATTGAATGAGAAGGTGTGTCCAAACTTTTGGCCTGTACTGTATAACACAGCATGAAATAGAAATACTCAAGTCCATGTACCTTGAAATTACTTTTACTTTACATTAACCCCCGACGTCACACATACACCCAACTAAACTATTTCAGTGTACATATGGCATGTGAGTACTGTATTAAGCGGGACTAAAAAAAGAACATCTGAAACCTTTATTTTAAGGGTGACATATACACCAGGTCTGCTTTTCTGGTCTTACCAAGAGGTCCTTTTCCTGAAGCTTTGGCCTTCAACGCCTCCAGAGCCTTCTGCTCTTCCTTTTGTTTCTGCTTGAAGGCAATGTCATCCTGCAGAGCCACACACAGTTCACATTCTGTTCACTAAACCCTTTCCATGATATCACTTCCGGCTGTTTTCTTCAGTCTGGGCTGCAGCCAACATTTATTTTGACTACAATTTTACTCCAATATATAACGAATGTTATCAAAGGTTCTCAGAGCCCAAAAAACAAACAAAAGCAACCAATAAAAAGAGATGTTGTTTCAGGGTTTTTTTATTTTTATATTATTTGTGCCATTTGAAAATATCATCTTGGGCTCTATGAAACAATTATAGTGATTTTTTAAAATTAATATTTAACCTTATGCAGACTGAACGATTAGATATCAAAAACAGATGAACTGTCACATGGCTTTCACAACTGAGTAATTTGCCTAGGTGTTGCTGCTTCATAACTAAAACATACAAAGCCAAAGAGCAAACATATGAACCAAACATTTACAATACAACTATGAAATAAATATACTGAGTAGCTGTGTAGTGTTTAAGATGAAGACAATGGGTTGCACAAGACACTGATTGACAAATGTGCAAATGTTCACTGAATAAATAATGTACGCCATGCACATATAAATAATAAACAAAGACATTTGAGTTTAGAAAGAATATAATAGTTATTTCAACTCATAATGAAAATAATGACAAATCAAAAATGTAATAAACTTACTTCATCCATTTCCTTTGTTTGCTTCTTGGGCGTCTTCAGTGGTTTCTTTTTGCCTCCTGTGGGGAAAAAAAGAGACATATTATATCAGCTCACTGACCTGCTTAAAAAGCCCATGTGGAAATTAACAGATTTGCGTCTTTGTGTGCGTTGGTGTGTCCAGAACGCCACGCCGTACTACTTTGATAAATCTATTTACTTTGCTTATTTGAATACATAACCTATCAGCTAATATGGTAAACAGAGAAGAGCCGCTTCTCAGTATAACATGTACACAACGAAAGCAGAAGCCGACTGTAACGTCAGTCAGTTTCACATATAAGAATTAGCGTTGGCTACGTCGGTTTGCCTGTTGCTAACGAGAGCAAAAAGAAAGGAAAAAGGTCAATTAAGATTCGTATAAATTAGCTGTTGGAAGACTATTTCTACGCCGAATGTCCCAGATGATCACAGTGACTCGTACATGATACAGCTACAAAGTCTGTCTTATGAATATATATCCCGAGAGCAAAAATAACATTTATATGCCATGTTTTAAATGTAGTTTGGTGCAAGAGGAGAACGTTAACAGGCTCGCGCTCTTTAACAGCCGTTAGCTTATTAGCCACAATCCACCCAGTAAACCTGCGATGCTGAATATTGTCCCGTCGTCAAATATATATTTAATGATGACTGTCAGATGAAATAAACTCTCACCTTCTCTACCAGACATGTTTCAAACTCGTCACAGTGGTCTAAATAAAACGGAACAAACGTTTTTAACGTTGGTAATGGTCGGTTGTCTCTTCTAATCCGCGCTGTCAGGACCCCGGTGAACTCTGAACCGGAAATAGTGTGACTGTTGTGTGCCTGAACGAAAGTTCACCTGGCTGCTGGCTGTTTCATTTGACATTAAGATGCTAACTAATTAGCCAAAAGAAACTGCGTCTGTGTGATATGTATGCTTTGACATCGTTGAATAAAACAGGTAGGTTTATTTCTATACTTTACTGTCAGGGTGAAAATGTGACAGAATTATTATACTCATAAAAAGTCAGTTTACCGGTAACTGTTAGCAACGTGGAGCTAAAAGCTAGCTGGTTGGGAATGAAATAGGGAAACGAGCAGAAGAGTCAGTTAACCTTGGGGGAAAATTGTTATATAAGGTTGAGTTACATTTGTGAAGTTAAACCATGTAGATTTAATCTTTTTTTTGTCTGTCTGGTTCTTCATTTGATGTATCAGTCAGTTTTAGAAGTGTTGTATGTTGATAAGCAGTGGTGTAATGTAATTAAGAACATTTACTTAACCATTGCACTTATGTACAGTTTTGAAGGTGCTTGTACTTTACTTGAGTATTTTCTTTTTATGTTACTTAATAATTCTACCCAACTACATTTTGGGGGCAAATATTGTACTTTTTTTACAGTTTGACAACAGTTATCACTTTGTAGATTAAGTTTATTCAAACACATATAAATCATCTTAACAATAATGTATTATTATAATTTAAGATAAAATATAATAGAATATAATATGATATAATATATTTACCAGCCTCAAAGTTAGTGATGCATTCACATTGCATTACATCAATAACTATGATCCAGCTCAGTGGCCTTGTGGTAGAGTGTCCGCCCTGAGACTGGGTGGTCGTGGGTTAGATCCCCGGCCGGGTCATACCAAAGACTATAAAAATGGGACCCATTGCCTCCCTGCTTGGCACTCAGCATCAGGGGTTGGAATTGGGGGGTTAGATCACCACATGATTCCCGAGCGCGGCACCGCTGCTGCTCACCGCTCCCTCAGGGGATGGGTCAAATGCGGAGAACAAATTTCACACATTCAGGTGTGTGACAATCAGTGGAACTTTACCTTTACCAGTGATTTCATTTTGAATGGGCCAGTGAGTACTTTTACTTTGGGTACTTTAAGTATGTTTTAGGGTTGCACTGGTATGAGATGTTCATGGTATGATTCCCATCTCAGATAACATCCCAGTTTCATGTTATTACAGAATTTATATTATTACCGGAAAGAGTGACCCTTAAAGAAAAGAAAATGTAAGGGTTATCTTTGGTTGAACAAATGTTTCATTACTATAATTGAAACTTGAAAACATTGTGTTAATGGAAGTATGTGTAAAAAGTCTCCCTTTTGAAAATAACTCAAATAAAGGGGAGATTATCTGTCCAGTTATATATTTTTGTTTCAGTTTCGTAGATAAGCAAACATGCATGCTATGATAATTATTAACTTTTACATCACGATATACTTTGAAACCAGTACGTAGCTGCAACCCAAGTATGTTTTGATGCTTATACTAATTTACTTTTACTTAAGTAAAGTCTTGAATGCTGGACTTTTACTTGTTACAGTGCATTTTTACCAGTGCAGTATCGCAACTTTTACTTTAATAAAAGATCAGAATAGTTCATCCACTTCTGTTAGTCATCATGCTTTATATAAACAGTCCGCATCAACCCCCCAGGCTGTACATTTAGAAGCAGTTTTAATGAGGTTAGGGGTTGGCTAATTGTGGAGTTACAGGAGCAGTGTGAAGGATATGGTAGCATCTAGTGGTGAGGTTGCATGTTGCATGTTGTTTGTCCGTAATGGGTTACTGTAGAAACATGGCAGACTGTGGAAGAGGACCCGCTCTGCATGTAGATATAAATGACTCAGTATAAGGTAACAAAAACACAACAATTCTTAGTTTGAAGTGATTATACATTAATGAGAACTCTGCCAGTAGTTCCCCCTAAATCCTACACACTGGTCATTTAAATGTCTAATTATATGATGTGTAAGTTATATGAGGTGTAAGTTATGACACTTGATACAAATGTCATTTTATCAACAGATTATGGTTAATAGTCTTCTTGTTAATTGCCTTCATAATGGCATCTCTGGATTGTGATTTTTATTTGAAAAAGCACTTAAAGTCAATGCTGTCACATTTGATAGTAAAAGTAAATATTTTCTTTGTGATGAGTTTTTAATTTAATTTGTAAATATACATTTTCACAAACTATTGCATAAACTATAATGTTTATTTTGATGCACATACAAAATGTACATAGGCTCACACATTTGTAGCAATAATGCCTCTTTTTTTTTTTTTTGGCTGTTTAAATCAGAGCCCAACCAATAAATTGTCTGGGTGGATATTCACAGTCTACACTGGCTTATTACAGATATGTCAGTATCAGTGTACACATACTCTGTTGCCAGTTTATAAAGTGCATTTTAGGAAAAATGCAGAAACTTATTTAGAAATTGATTAATGTATTACTGCATTGCAAATGTCTAAATGAATTACCTGTCAATTGTGAAGAACTGAAATTTAAACCAGCTGTGTCACATATATTCCAAGAAGCTGGACCCAGTCCAGTAGTCAGATCCCTTTGACCCAGCAGCACACCTCTGGCTGATTGTGTAAATGAGATGCCGTGAACTTCTTTAATATTCACACTTGATAGTTTTTCAATCATTTTATTTTTATTTTTACTGTTTTTCTCACAGGTGTTGGCTCTGTAGCGGCAGTGAAAGTGAAGCTCTGACAGGATTCGGGCTGCTTTTCCACCTGCTGCTGTTCTCAATGAGGTACGTCTGTACAATGCAGTCCATATGGGGGTGGCTAAGTTTTCTTTTCTTTTTTTTTTTTTGGCTGATTCTACATATAATCCGCAACGCTGAAGCTGATGATTAACAATATCTTTACTGTGTCAGGTACAGAGGAGCCCAGATCTGTCTCCGGGCTCATGGCTCGTGCTATCTATCATGTCTCTCCCTGCCTGGCAGAATCACTGTGGTCCGAACCTGCAGTGCTCACCACCAGCCCAGCTCCCCGCCACCCACTAAGCCTACCCCTCCTGATGGGAAGAGCGGAGCCGAGGTGGTGAAGGAACGTGCACTAACTGCTTTACAGGTACAGGAAATGTCTCTTCTGACTGTTTATAACAACTGTACAGCCCCATGCGTCACTGACTTTTTAGAACTGTATAAATAATTTTGTATAACCATGACATTATCATCTGATTTTCCCTTCTTTCCCTTCTCTAGCATGCAGGTGATTTGGGAAGGCAGTGGGGTCAGAGGACAGCTCAGACGGCCACTGCCTCAGTCAACTCCTGGTGGGTGAGGTACGAGGAGTTTGTCGGGATCAATGAGGTCCGCGAGGCCCAGACCAAAGTCACTGAGGTCAGCAGACAGTAAGAAGCAGGATGTTCTGTGTGCATGTTAATAGTCAGTGAGAACACTCAATAAACTACAGACTCTGAGTTCTCCATGGCTCATTGCTGTCCTGAGATATAGATGAACTCCAGCAAGTTATTGAGGGCAAATGATCTATACTGAGACGTGTGAATTTCTTTCAGGCTGAGGCAGCCTTTATGGTGGCCAGAGGGATGGTGCGTGAGGCTCATGCCAGCCTGGAGGCCCTGCAGGTCAGACTGAAAGAGGTCAGAGACCGGCTGGACAGAGTCTCCAGGGAGGAAGCTCAGTACCTGGAGCTGGCCACACAGGAGCACAAACTACTGCAGGTTAGCTGAATTGAAAAATATAAGTTTAAAAGAGGATGAAAGAAAATGCATGTAAAGCATCTGTTAGGTTGTTTTAGATTTTACTGTTTAAACTAACAAAACTATAAGACATGTAACTGATCAGTAATGTACCAGTTAAGGGTTAATTCATAACAAACCACCCCCGGTGCTCTCTCCTGACTGCAGGAGGAGCGTCGTCTCCGGACGGCGTATGAGAACGCAGAGGGATCGGAGAGGGAGAAGTTTGCCTTGTTTTCAGCAGGTGTCAGAGAGAGCCACGAGAAGGAGAGGGCAAGAGCAGAACGCACCAAGAACTGGTCCATCATCGGCTCCGTGCTCGGAGCCCTCATCGGAGTCATGGGATCAACGTACATCAATCGCGTCCGCCTGCAGGTGAGGAGGGCAGATGATAGAAGTTGGATTGCTTAACTTGTAGTTTCTGCACTACTTGTAACTTTATGAAGTACAGTACTGACAGAAAATGTATTTTGTTTGATGGACTCAGAGGTCGGGCTGGGCTTAAGAGATTGTTATGATTTATTGCCATTTTTTTCTTTTTACACACATACTGACACTTTACACTTAATTGTTACAGATATTTTATCTGTATCAGCACACCACCAGGACAACAATGTGCACTGATCTTTGTTCCAACTGATACATTTTCACTTCTCTCATCTGTAGGAATTGAAGAGTCTGCTGTTGGAGGCCCAGAAAGGTCCAGAGAGCCTGCAGGAAGCCCTCAGAGTCCAGGCTGTAAACCATCACTCCCAGCAGGACGAACTCCGAACGATCATCGACAGCCTCAGGGTCACTCTGAATGACGCCTCCACACAGAGGGACATCGCCCTTCAGGATAAGAGAGCTCCGGCCCCAGCCTCACCCTCGGTGCCTTTTTCAGCCTTAAAAGACCTCCACATCCGCAGCCAAAAGACAGAGTTGCTTCTGGAGTCCCTCCGGCCCCAGCTGGGCCAACTGGAGCAAGGACTTGGTAGAGTCGAAGGTGATTTGTCGGTGGTGAAGAGGCTGCTGGAGACCAGACCTCAGGCTGAAACACAGGCTGTTCAGCCGCAGTTAGCAGCACCAGAGAGACCAGAGAGACCAGAGCGAGGGGACCAGTGGGAGTCAGAGGTGGTGGTGAATCGCCTAGAGGAGACCCAGAGGACGCTGGGAGAACGAATCAGGACAAACACTCTTTACAACGCTGTATTTACCTACACCGCCACTGCCATCACCATCTCTGCCGTCTACCTGCTAATGAGAGGAGCTGGTTAGACGTGATGCCTCCAGTCTGAATATGTTCACATGCACTGTACGTCTGTCGGTCACTGAGAGTAATAATATAAATTAATTATGTCAGAAAACATTTACTTTATTGGAAGTAACTGAGTTTCTGTATTAAACTGGTAATAGGTGCTGATTTGGGCTTACCTTCCACTGCTGCTGTTCACTGCACTACTGACCGCCTCTGAATATTTTTAATTCCGTGATCTCAAGATAAAATGATAACATCACAATTTACCTGAAAGGCACAGAAAAACATGGGCTCTTGGGATTCATTCACACCGTACACTATCAATCGATCAAACATGTCAATAATTAAAAAAGAACAGTGCTTCATTACCAGGCTGCTAGTGTTGTTTTGTAGGCTAACGTTAGCAACATGTGCTCCTACCCCGCCAGCCTGCACTGAAATGAGAGGAGCAGTTACAAGTGTAGCAACTTTGCTGCTAGACTTAAGGTACATTTTGGGTGTCGTATGGCATCATATGGGGGAATACAACATGGAAATATGTCAAAATGGCAATAACATTTTTTCATTAGCTAAGTAGCTAGTTAGCTACTGAGACATCAGCATGATAGACCATAATACATTGAAATATTAAACCAAGATAATATGATTGTTATTGTAATTTTAAAATCTTTATCAATGAAGGAGAATTTAATTGTGGGTTTCTGTTTGTGCAGTGATTTCTCATAACACCAGGTTTCGTCTGTACCTCTGAAAACCTCTCTTCGGAGGACCTAAAACTTCACCCTACCCCTCTATCCCAACAAGAATCGGGACGCCCTACCTCTAGGCTGAGTGTCGGGGGTAGCAGGTGTATTGGGGTAAAGCCTTAGTATCTGTTATTTCATGTCCATTATTGTAACTGTTTGTTCTAAATTGTCAAACATGATCATCAGGTTTCTTGTTTGAAGTGACGCTACACATAACTGAACGACACATTAGAGTACAGCATAGACACTATTTGTAAGGTCGCATCTATTAAATACTTTTCATCATTTACTTTATAAAATGGCGATCACAATACCCCAGCCTAAAAATCATGTCTTTAAATTGCTTGTTTTTTCCCTCCGACATTGCTGGATTATTCACATAGGGGCTAAAATAAACTGTATAACAATATGCAGTACGTCAGTTTTGACACAGGGCCCTCTCGAAGACTGAGAATCATGCAGGACCAACCTTAAGGCCAGTATTGTTGTGCATATTCCTCTATGATATAAAGAAGAAAAAAACAGTAAATCATCACAGTTGAAAAACTGTAACCAAACTGATTATGGCTTTTTTTTTTCTTGATAAATACCTTTAATGAATATCTTTTTTTTTTGGCATCAATTTTCTGTCATCATCTTATTGACCAATCATTTCAACACCTGGTAACTGAGTCTCAGAAACTTCTCCGCCGAGTATTTCTGAGCTCCTAATTTGGATTGCATTTTTCCTTAAACTGAGTCACTGAAAGAGAACCTGAGTTGAATACCTAAAGGGAAAAACACCAGTTTAACTAAACATGCTTTGTTCACTCAGACACTTGAAGACGTGGATTCATTTGTAAGCCAAGGCAACTTTATTTATATTGCGCACTTCAGCAATAGGGCAATTCAAAGTGCTTTACATACAAATTGCAAAAAACCCCACATAAAACAGGCATAAAAGTTACAGTGCAGTGTGAGAAATTAATTTTTTGATTTGATAAAAGGCAGCAACAAACAGAAAAGTCCTCAACCCAAATTTAAAAGAACTGAGAGTTGCGGCGGACCTACAGTTTTCTGGGAGCTTGTTCCAGATATTTGGTGCATAAATGTTAAACGCTGCTTCTCCATATTTAGTTTTGACTCCGAGGACACAAAGCAAACCTGTCCCTGACGACCTGAAAGGTCAGGATGTTTCCTAATGTAGCAGAAGATCAGAAATATATTTTGGCCCTAAACCATTTAGTGCTTTATAAACCAACAGTAGTATCTATTATCAATTTCTAGATGTCACAACTGCTTCTAAATCAACACCTATGGCAGTCAAGACATCAAATCTTAATTTTGACTAAGACATAATTTAGTGATTATTTAACGTAAACATGGTGGGTTTAACTGATGATGGCACAATTGTTCTGTATATGCGGCCAAGTTAGTCCAGTGCCAAGTGAGTTTTAAACTTGATTCAGCCCTGCTGAACCACAGAGGGATCACGTCTTCTGTTCACAATCTGTCCTCTGAGATTAATCTCCAGTCTGCTCCAAGCTAAAAAACGCAAAACTCAGACTACAGATGCTGGATGATGGAGTTGCGTTTGATTTCTGTTGCCCAACATGTAAAGAGAACCCATCATATGTGAATTTAAGTCATTTTACAGGACATTAAACTGTGCACAAGATCAGTACAAACACCTAAAGGAGCAATAATGAGAAAAAAAAGGATTGTGAGTCTTAATTTATGTAAGAAAACACTGTCAGGTGAACTGACAAAAACGTCCCTTACAAAGCTCTGAAATGGCCTTTAAGCACTGCAGTCCTCACTGTCCTTTGGATAAAAACTAGAATAAGTAAAGTCCCCTCACTACATGTGAACATGTAGTGAGGGGACTTTAGACATGTAGAAAAATATTAGTGAAGTTTTGCAGACTCTGTCCGCTGCAGTGTTTAACCTCCTCCAGTACTTGAACTTGTTGTTGTGTGTTTTCATGCTGATGCCCGTCATGTTGTTGACAGAGCTGAACGATGATCACTGTGTAATAAACTGTCTGTTCTGCTGACTGTTGTATAATAAGCGACCAATAAAGTCACTGTCTGCCAACCTGAGTGACTGATAAAAAGATTTATTGTTTTACACACACTAATATGTCCTTTTCTGTTTATTATAGTACTGGGTAACAAAATTTAGGGCTTCCTCCTGACGATTATTTAGATTATTGATACATCTGCTGAATATTTTTGCCTTTTAAATGTTTGATATGTCTGAACAACGATTCTGAACCTGAAGGTATTCAGTTTGACATCATACAAGGAGAGGAAAAACAGAAAATCTGCACATGTAAGAGGCTGGAAAGAGCACATTTTGGGGGGATTTTTACTTGTAAAAATGACCACGATGATTAATCAGTGATCAGATTTGTTGCAGTTCTCATTTAATACTGTAAACAGAAACAGAAAAATACATATCTGTACACCATTCTCCCTGAAATTGTTAAAAATAAATCAAATAATGTAAACAGACATGCTACAACATGTTATACGTACACCTACACACTTAATTTTGAACCGTTCAGAGCATTTTGACCTAAAATAAATTGGCTCAGGGCCCAATAAGTTGGTTCCCAGCTGGAACCAAAAAACAACCGTGAAGACATCAGTAGGCAGATCATATTCTACAGGTTGGAAATAGTTTTGCATGTAATAGTCTCATCCATTGTGCAACACCCTCTCTTGTTGATGCGTGCTTGATAACAATGGTTCTGATCATAACTAGTGGAAACACTGACCAGTTCGCTAGTTAGCACCAATGTTCCAAGTGTCCTGATCGAAACCAGTTCAAGAACCAAAGCTGATCTGTGAAAAATTGGCATTAGTGAGCTGTGTTGCCTGGTGGGTGTATTTTTACTGTCTTAAAAAGTCAGGGCCAGGTTAGCTGTTTCCCCCTGCTTCCATTATTCACGCTAAGCTAAACTAACAACATCTAGACTTCAGCATTGTTCTTAATGCACAGACATGAGATTTTCATTTTGGAACTATTTCTTTATTAAAATGTAATTTGAAATTTTAATGACATCTATCAAATAATACGTTTTTCCCTGATAAAGTGACAGTCAACTACGCTCTGTGGTGTCTCTGACAAAGACCCAGCAGTTCTCACAGACAGGAAACACTTACTGGTCCAGATAACAGATAGATGTGGGATGTGGGATGTGGGTGTGTTAGGGTTTGCATACATCTGCTGCTGTATGTACATTGAGCTGGCTTCATGACCTCTGTACTCCGCTTGTTCTGTATTCTGTGGAGTTCAGTCTCAGTCTGTCTGCTGATGCCATCACAACATTGCATATTTGACCCAGACTGGTGAGTTGTTCTTCTGTTTATTTCACTTGCCCGCTTCTCTGGACTGAAAACTCCTCTCCAGCACTAAAAATGATGAAAGAGAAGGATGATTGCTTTGAGGACTTTAATTAAGTTTCATTTTAAAGTCTCCAAAATGAATGACACTATGTTGACATTACTGAGGAAGCAGAATGTTGTTAACCAAACGTCCACAATGTCATTTTGAAATTTACATTGTCAGAGACAGGAGGAGGAGCTGAGCATTAATTCATGTGTAATATATAAAGCATTTTAGTTTGTGGGAGCCCTGGATGTTTAAAATGTGCTTCCTTTGAGGGGAAAACAGCATGTAAGTGCATTTTATGAGAAGGTATTTCCATTTTATACTGCTTTATCCTTCTACTCCATCACATTTCAGGGGAAAAGACTGTTTTTTTTTACTCCACAACATTTATTTGACAGCTTTAGTTACTTTACAGGTTAAAACATTTTATACATAACATTTTATCATCTTAGAAAATATGATGTATTATTACAGATTGAAATAAAGAAGGTAAACATTAAAATACTGCTCACATGTTAATGCATGAATAATAATAACTAGTCCATACCCATTGGTAGTTTTGTCACCTTCTACCTATGCCAGTCCTCAATGCCTATGTGCAGTTTCACATAGACTGACCACGTCAGTGAGTAGAAAAACGTGGGACAGACAGAATGACTGACTGACAGAATGACACACTGACAGTTTCCGTGATTATGTACAGCATACCATACCATGACTTAGTCATACCAAAAATTAGAAACAAAACAAACATTGGTCCACAGAGGGAGCCACAGCGATCGGTCGCATTTTTCTGTTGTTATAGCACCACCCAGTTGCCAATTAGAGTTAAATTTCTCCAGTCACCTTGAGGCGTCCTGTTCTACATATCTACCAAGTTTAGTAAAAATCCATATGGCGGTTAGGCCTAGATAAGAAATTAGCTCTCTAGCGCCCTCATTTTGTTTGATGGGGTCAGTAATGGAGGGGTCCCCTCAGATTATGTGTGGTCATATGCCTACAAAGTTGCGTGGTGATGGGTGAAACCCTTGAGATGTTATACACCTTTATGTGATGAGCCACGCCCTCCGCAATATTCATTGCCTTATAGAAGCTCAGTTTTAGTAAGTTTTCCAACTTTTGCCAAGAGGGAACTTTAGATATTGGTCCCTAGATTATGTTCACCCAGTTTCATGCAGATCGCTCAAACTTCCTAGGAAGAGATCAATTTGAAGTGTTTTTCAAAAAATTCAAAATGGCGGAAAATCTATGTAACTGGAAGTTATGGTTTCTGAGGCAAATTTGTTCCTCATGAGGAGAGACATCTCTGTGCAAAGTTTCATGTCTCTACGACATACGGGGCATGAGATATGCCCATTCAAAGTTTGCAATTTCAATCAGTTGCTATAGCGCCCCCCTTTGGTCAATTGATGTAATATTGCTTCATTCACATCCTCCCATGACCCTCTACCACTGTGCCAAATTTCACATGGATTGACCAACTCAGTGAGGAGAAAAACATGGAACAGACACACAGAGTTTTCGTCATTATATAGTAAGATAAAATAATCAGAAAATGTAACATATATAATAATATTAACCTCTGAAATGTGCTTCTCTGCATAATGAGTGCTGTCAATTATTGTTCCTTTATGTTGACACTTTGTTGCAAATACTGCTGTACTTCAGGTATAACTCTAAATACAGGTTTTTCACTTGTAACATAGTATTTTTAAATTGTATGAGATATACAAAGGCATTCAACCTATAAAAAAACCCCAAAATATTATAAAACACTTGAAAGATGTTAAATAAATATGGATCTTGTGCCACAGAAGTGAAATAAGTAAAATCTTATAACATGCAAAGACGGGAAATAAACAGACTTCACATGCATAATACTTTCTCTCAGTTTGAATGTAAAGTTAATTATCAAACAAATATTATTCTTCTCTTTCACACCCCTTTTTGCTTCATGTTAACACTAATTTTTATAAATAAAGTCACCTCTGTGCTGCATGTTGAGACAAAATCCATAAGAAAATAACTGTCAACTGACCAACTGCAGTGTTTTCACCCTGCAGCTATTTTTTTTCTCTTGACGGCTCATTTCTTAGTTTCACACACTACATTAACCTTTCTTCCTTTATGTATCTTGTTTGACTTATAGAGTAAAATGTGTGACATAATAGTTTTGTTTTATCATGTTTTAACTATTTAACACTGCTTCACAGTTCTCTGTGTGTAATTCATGAACTTCTTATCAAGAAAGACAGTCTCTGAGGTGTTGATGGGATTAGGGCAGATTGAATCAGACTGTATTAGTAGGTTAATTGGCCTCTCCAGTGTTTTCTGAGTTGCATTTACCTTACTTGTCACTCCGACCTCTTGACTGACCCAGCCCACAACCCCCTCCTCTGGATGTCGTTCTTCAGAGAGCTGTACAGCTTCACTGTGGACTTCTGTCTCCACTGCATAGCGACTAAAAACCCATCTCAGCCACACACAGAATTGGACCTGAAAGATTTCTTTCTTGTCACACCTACAGTTTGAACAGCATGTCTCTCATATTCATCCTGTAAAACTTTTGTAATCACCTGAAGTCAAAATGAAGATTGCAGCCTTCAATGCAAAAAACCTGGGATGGAAAAAAGTCACGAACAAGATGGTCGTCCACTACCTCACCAAGGTAAGTCCTTCATCATAATGATTTTATGGACAGTATACCACTGATAATAGCAACATATGAATGTATGTCGTTTACACAACAAGTTGTGCTGACTGCGTGTCCTGCAGATCATGTCTCAGTACAGTGTAGTGGTGATACTGGAGGTGATGGATAAGAGCGGTAAGGCCATGGAGAAGTTACTGAAAGAGCTCAACAACAACAGGTGAGTTCTCTGCACTGTGTTATAAAGATAATGTCATGAAGAGGGAGAAACTCTTTTTCTTACATGTATACTTTCTCTTTCTCTTCATACTATAATGAATTAAGTATCTAAGTGCAGTTGATTTGTTAAAGGTCCAGTGTGTCGGATTTAGGGGGATACATTGGCGTAGAATAAATATAATAAGTATGTTATCTTTAGTGTATAATCACCTGAAAATAAGAATCATTAATTTTTCTATACCTAGAATGAGCTTATTATATCTACATGGGAGGGTGCTCGTCTGCAGAGATTGCCATGTTGCATTGCCATGTTTATACAGTAGCTCAGGACAAACAAACCAAACACTGTCTCTAGATAGGGATACTTGTGTTTTCGCATTTTCATGTCAGCCACCATAGTTAGAAGCCACTCCGCGATGAGCAGCATTGGAAAAACACTGACTCTGACAGGTGAGAAATTGTTTTATTCAGTGTTTTTACTGGTTTAAATCAGCGGGTCGTGAACATCTGGATCTGAAGTTATCACAGAAAAAACATGAGCATGGATCAGCAGGTGCTAGGCTAAAATCCTGTGTCGCACATGCCAAATGGCATCAGAGAAACACTGATTTGTACCCTGAGACTGCTTTATTTAGTGTTTTACCGGTTTAAATCACCTTGTTCTGAAGAGGAGGAGACCTCTGTGGATAATTTGGGTCGCTGTAAAAACCTCCTGAACAATGAATGCTGAAGGAATTCTAACCAGGAGAAGTTTCAGGTGGTTGCAATCTGCAATCCTCACCACTAGAGGCCACTAAATCCCCCTTAATCTTACACACTGGCCCTTTAA